AGCCCTGTCCCTTTGGGGGGCCCTCCAGTTGCATGTGTGTGGATCTGCTGGGGCATATAGAAGTCTCAGGAGTTGTTCTGGAATCTCATGGCTCAAATGGGTTGTCACGACTCAGCACAGGCCTAAGCCCTGGTGCAGCTGCTCCCCTGGACCAAGCCTGTCCATCCCTTGGGCTGCATGTGGCCCAGGACAGCTTTGAACCTGACCCAACACAAATTTGTAAACTTTCTTAAAACATGGAGATTTGGGGGGCGTTTTTTGGTTTGGTTTGGTTCGGTTCAGTTCATCAGCTGTTGTGTTAGTATATTTTTTGTGTGTGGCCCAAGACAATTATTTCATTGTGGTCCAGGGTAGCCAAGATTGGACACACCTGCCCTAGACAGTCCCAGCTTCATCCCTTGGGTCCCAGGTGGTCCAGCTTTCTCTGCCTGGTCAATGATTAGGTTCAAGGTCTTCCTCCCTTTTCTCTCTGTCTTCAAGGCTTGTGGGTGATTTTGGTGTCTTCACTGGCAGTGGTTGCAGGAGTGGACTGAGAGGCCGTGTTTTCAGTCTCTTTTGTGCTTCATGGGTGGTGGTCTTCCTCTGGGCTTAGAAAACCTGGCTGTCCCTGAAAAGGAAGCACACTACAGTGAAGGTCCTTATAAATTTCAGAATTCACTTTTTTTAAAGTTTCAGAATAGGTGACATGGTTCAAAACCAAGAAAAAAGTGTCCAAAGGATACTAATCCAGCTTGAAGGGGTTCTGCAGGTCATCTGGGATGATGGCAATGTCAAATCAGAAATTGGTGGCCGGTTTATACCCACTGAACAGCACGGGCACATGTGGGCTCTCACCAATGTTGAGAAATGGAGAGGTGTCACCTTGCAGTAGGGTACTGGGGTGAGTGGATGAGAAAGTACGTCACCAGCAGACAGTCATGGCCGTGATTCAACCAAGAAGCCTCCTGCATGTGGAACCCCGGTGGAGGAAGTCTGATAAGGGGTGGGTGTGGTCACGGGCTCCTGGCATGTTCTCTGGAAGGCAGAAGCCTTCCTCACTGGGGATAAGCCTCCTACGGGTGCACTGAAGAGGCAGCCAGTGTTTCAGAGAGTGACCAGTTTCTTTTCTAAAGTCTCTGTTTGGAATAAAAACACCTGATTCATGAAAGTGCCCACTGGGTGGTGAGGCCAAGGCCTAGCAGCTTCAGTGTCCTTAGAGAGGTGTCCTGGCAGTGGAGGCCCTTCCTGCTGGAGTCTCTGCAGAGCTCTTGATGGTGGGTGCCAACCGACATGATTGCTGTCCCTGGTGTTTATGTTCTGAGGGAGCCCCCTACCATTGCCATGTGGGGCAGACATGGCATGCATGCCCCATCCAGGCTGTGTCCTCAGTGGAACTGTTCCCCTGAGGGTGTCCAGTTGTGCCTGGCCTGGCCCTGTGTGCTCTGATCCTTCTGAGTGTGGGTGGTGGCACAGTGAGTGGTGCTCTCTAGTCCTGGAAGGTTTGTGTTGGGGTGTAGAGCAGCCCTGCATACACCTGGAAGCCAGTCCTCAGGTAGCCAGCTTCGCCTCCTGCATAGGCTGGGATGAGGCAGCCTTTCTGGCCATGCAGCCTTGGGGATGGCTTCCCAAGATGAGGGCAACAGCTTCTCAATTCCTGATTCAGCCATTTTCCCTCAGCACCCATCCTCAGGTGGATTTCGGGGGCTTGGGAGGCCGGGCTCTTTCCCTGTTTCCCTGCAAGTTTCCAGGAGGTGGGGTGAGGCAGTTGTGCATCCCTGGGTGAATGGGCTCTGAGCAGCTGCTGCTGGACAGCACAGAACCAGACATGGAGCACCTTGTCTCTCCAGGTGTCCCTGGCCAGTGTCCTTCCACCTGTCCACAAGCATGGGGAACATCTTCGCCAACCTCTTCAAGGGCCTTTTTGGCAAAAAGGAAATGCGCATCCTCATGGTGGGCCTGGATGCTGCAGGGAAGACCACGATCCTGTACAAGCTAAAGCTGGGTGAGATCGTGACCACCATTCCCACCATAGGTGAGGCAGTGGCCAGCAGGGAGTGGGCTGGGGTGGGCTGGGCCGAGGTACAGAGCCTCACCCTGCATCCTGCCCGCAGGCTTCAATGTGGAAACCGTGGAGTACAAGAACATCAGCTTCACTGTGTGGGATGTGGGTGGCCAGGACAAGATCCGGCCTCTGTGGCGCCACTACTTCCAGAACACACAAGGTGAGTGGCTGGGGCCTGGTCCCATGGGTCCTCCTGCTTCTAGAGAGGGTGGCCAGCCCATAGATGTGGCAGGGGGGCTGTGTTCCCTTGACCGTTTAACACTGGCTGCTCTGCAGGCCTGATCTTCGTGGTGGACAGCAATGATAGAGAGCGCGTGAACGAGGCCCGTGAGGAGCTCATGAGGATGCTGGCTGAGGATGAGCTCCGGGATGCTGTCCTCCTGGTGTTCGCCAACAAGCAGGTAGGTGCCCGGGTCAGCCTGGGGAATGTGAGGAGCCAGCGTGATTTCCTCCAGGGCATCTGGTGGTAGGGGTTGTTGGAAGCTGGTGGGGTCCCTTTCTCTGTCCCAGGGACATCCCTTCCCACCAACCCTTCCTTCCCCCAGGACCTCCCCAACGCCATGAATGCGGCCGAGATCACAGACAAGCTGGGGCTGCACTCCCTACGCCACAGGAACTGGTACATTCAAGCCACCTGCGCCACCAGCGGTGACGGGCTGTATGAAGGACTGGACTGGCTGTCCAATCAGCTCCGGAACCAGAAGTGAACGCAATCCCCTCCCTCTCACTCCTCTCACCCTCTGCTTTACTCTCATGTGGCAAACGTGCGGCTTGTGGTGTGAGTGCCAGAAGCTGCCTCCGTGGTTTGGTCACCGTGTGCATCGCACCGTGCTGTAAATGTGGCAGACGCAGCCTGCGGCCAGGCTTTTTATTTAATGTAAATAGTTTTTGTTCCCAATGAGGCAGTTTCTGGTACTCCTATGCAATATTACTCAGCTTTTTTTATTGTAAAAAGAAAAATCAACTCACTGTTCAGTGCTGAGAGGGGATGTAGGCCTGTGGGCACCTGGCCTCCAGGAGTCGATGTGTTGGGAAAGCCGGGCACGCTCTTGGCTTTAGAGCTGTGTTAAAATCCATTTTGGTGGTTGGTTTTTAACCCAAACTCAGTGCATTTTTTTAAATAGTTAAAAATCCAAGTCGAGAACACTTGAACACACAGAAGGGAGACCCTGCCTAGCATAGATTTGCAGTTATGGCCTGGATGCCGGTCGCCAGCCCGGCTGTTCCCCTTGGGAATGTGAGGCGGTGGCGCGGCAGACCGCGATCAATTCTGCATGGTCACAATAGAGATCCCGCAACTCGCTTGTCCTTGGGTCACCCTGCATTCCATAGCCATGTGCTTGTTCTTGTGCCCCCATGGTTCCCAGGGGCCAGGCTGGGAGCCCACAACCGCCCCCACTCTCCTGCAGGCCGCCCCGCCCACCTTCAGGCAGCCTGTGGGAAACAGGGCCTCACCTGTCCCTCGGTCAGCATGTGGCCAGAGTGAGTCCGTCATTCCCACTGCTCGTGCTCGCTCAGACACTTTGGCAGGATGTCTGGGGTCTCACCAGCAGGAGCGCGTGCAAGCCGGGCAGGCGGTCCACCTAGACCCACAGCCCCTCGGGAGCACCCCACCTCCGTGTGTGACGTAGCTTTCTTTCCCTCAGCCTGCAAGGGTCCGATTTGCCATCGAAAAAGAACCTCTACTTTTTTCTTTTGTATTTTGATAAACACTGAAGAAGCTGGAGCTGTTAAATTTATCTTGGGGAAACCTCAGAACTGGTCTGTTTGGTGTCGTGGAGCCTCTTACTGCTTTCAGTACACGATTGGTAATCAACCGTTTTGTATACTTGTTTTCAGTTTTCATTTCGACAAACAAGCACTGTAATTATAGCTATTAGAATAAAATCTCTTAACTATTTCACCGGCTCTCCAGTGTTTCTGCACAGGCAGACTGCCCCCAGGAGACGGTGGGTGGAGCGGCCAGCTTTAGGAGTGCAGGTGACTGCGTAGGGCCACCACCTGAGTCCACATTCCCTCTCCTGAGTGTGCAGGAACTTCCCTGTGTCTGTGTGAGAGGCTCTTCCACCACGATTGCCCACAGTAACCTTGCTGCTCTCTGCTTGCAGTCCTGTTGGGCCCAGCCAGTGAGACCTGGGCCATACAGGACAGGAGTCAGCAGGCACTATATAAGACCTCAGCCTCCCTCCCTCCCATCAGCCTGCTGGCTGTGGGGCTGGGCCACTGCCAGCATACATGGTGCTTTGTGCCAGCCGGGGAATGGTCCCTGCCTGAGTGGGCACAGCCCCCACCTCTCCTCAAAATGTCATGAAGCAGAGGGCTGCCAGTCTGGGGGTACTTCTATGGGGTGTAGCCATCAGCAGGTCCAAGGTCTGTGTTCTGTTGGGCAGAGTCCCAAAAGGTGAGGATGTCCTGGCCAGGTGGCCCGACCTTCATCCCCCTTGACAGTGCCCAAGACAGATAGTGCCATCTCCACTCCAGTGGCTATGTGAGGGCAAGGGCAGAGGTCAAAGCCACAGGAGCCACACCTTGGCCAGGGCCCTAAGGAAGTTTTCTGAGACTGCAGTGAGCCGTGATCCAGTCCAGGTGCCCACACATGTCCTGAACAGCCCTGACTCTTCTCAGGGTCAGGCAAACGGGACACCTAGCCCACTGCCCTAGAAGAAGCAGAGCTGAGGGTTGAGGCAGCTGGGTCTTGGCAGGCAGGTAGAGTCCCCAAACCTCACTCAACTGAGGTTACCCCTCCAGACTCTGCAGTCCTTGACCTCACCTGTCCCAGGTCCCCACATTGCCAGCTGAGCACCCCTTTCCAGGGCCTCAGCCCTCCCTGGGTATGGGTAGGGTTTTGGGCACCCATGGGAGGACTGCATTCTTGGACGTTAACGAAGCATTAGGGCGCAGCTCCATCCTGGGATCTCGTTAACTCCTGATACTGACCTTCCAATTAGGATGATACACCTTTCTTTTAAAATATATTTATTGAAATATAGAGTCAACGTAAGGAAAAATAGAGATCACCGTATTTGGCCACAGGTAGATTGCTCATAGGCCCATGGCTGCTACAGCCATGAGCAGGACACGGGGAGTCCAGCCTCTACGGGTACCTGTGGGCAGGCTCACCTTCGCAGGGCAAGCCAGGGGCCATCCCTGCTGTGCGAAACCTGGAGGTCTTCCAGGAAGCTGGCTGCTCCAGAGCTAGCTGTGCAGCCTTTACCCCACAGGCTGGTGCCCAGAGCCACTCCACAGGAGCAGCCTCAGGTCTCACCCACACAAGGGGCTTTCCTGAGGCAGGAGGCAAGCAAGGTGAAGGGAGAGTTCCAGTTCCCACAGTAGCAGTGAGCAGGGTCCAACCATCAGACTTCAGAGTCTGTCATGCCGCCTGCAAGATGGGCTCCTGTCCCCACTGTGTCCCCGCTTCCTCCTCTTGCAGCAGGGGAAGTCGGAGTCACAGTCATGGTGGCAGTGCCTGGGCCTGGGAAGACCAAGGGCAGTCACTCATAGAGGTGGGGGTCAACCAAACCCCTACCCCCAAGACATGGGCCAGGGCATACTTCTCGGGAGATGTGGGAGAGGTGGCGGCCTCAGCTGGTCGCCTGTCTCTGTCTTTCTTTTTCTCTTTTTTGTGTTTCTTCTTTTTCTTTTTCTTCTTCTCCTTCTTGCTTTTCCTGTGGCTTTCAGAGCTGGGAGGGTACAAAATGCGCCTCAGAGAGTGAGCACAGGCAGGTCCCATCCAGGAGATGAAGCCACCACCCACAAATGCATCTTTAAATCAGTTAAATGAGATTACAGATTTCGCTCCTCAGTCACGCAGTCACATGGCCACTGAGACAGATGCAATATCCCTATCTCGACTGCATGGCCCTGTTCCACTTGAGCTGTGCCCTTGCAAGGTGACACCTTCCTCGTACCTGCACCCACAGGCCACTCCTGGGATTACAGCCCAGGCTCATTACCCAGGAAAATCCCTCGAGGTGCCACCCACGCAGAAAAAGGCTCCTGCCCAGGTCATGAGTGCCCTCCTACAGCACAGCCCCCAACCACTGCCATTACTTAGGACCTCCCTTCAAGGGTGACCCGAGAAACTCCGCTGGGGAAAAACCTAGGAGTAAGAGACAGGAAGGAAAGTAGGGCAGGCCACCGCCAAGGCCGGTGCGCAAAGAGAAGCTGCCACCTGCCTGCCTAGGAGCCGCTCCAGTCCTCCCGAGATCCCCCGGGGCGGCCTCACCTGCTTTCAGTCTGAACCTCCGCCCGTGGCTTCCTCCTGGCCGAGGCTGCTGAAGTCCCGGGCCCGCCGCTCTCCACGCGGTGGTGCTGCAGATGAAGCGCGCTCTGGGGAGAAGTGTGCGGGCCGGCCCCACACCACGCCCCGCAGCGCCCCAGGGAGCTCCGTGCCATGCCGTGCCCTGCCCGTCCCACCCCTGTGGGCCCCGATGCGATCAGGCGAGGGGTGGGGGGTGGTTACCGTGAACACAGACAGCCCCAGTTTGGCGGCCTCCTTGTCCTCTCGCGACAGCGCCACGCGGCCTGCGGAGCCACTGCAGTAACACAGCGATCAGGACAGTCCGGCAGGGGCCCGCCTCACCCGAGTAACCGAGCCCACACAGACCCTCCCTCCCCACGAAACCGGCCCACACCTGGTGCTCCCCAGCCCCAGCAGCCGGTCCACGCCCTTCTCCTCGGGGTCGCCTCCTTCCCGCTTGCAGACCTCCGCAAAGTCCTGCAGGTGGGGGAGCAAAGGGAGCTCTCGGGACGGCCCCACACCCACGGCCCTCCACGCGCCCCCACCCCGGGGAGTTACCTCCTTGCTCAGGCCCGTGGGCTGCTTCTTCACGTTCTTGTAGCCACTGAGAGGAAATCGAGGCAGGCGTCAGGGGAGTGAATCTCTTCCCAGCACGCGTCCTCACCACTCCAGCCTTCGTCCTGAGGGCCCCGCCCGAGCGAGTCCCCGCAACTCCGCCCCCGCCCAGCCGGGCCCCCAGCCTTCACCCCCGGCCCCAACCAGCCTCCGCCGCGCGGTCCCAAGCCCCGCCCGCTGCTGCCCGCCGACACTCACAGCGCGGCCAGCAGCGCCTCGCGCTCCGCCTCCCGCACGGCTGCCAGCTCCTCCTCGCGGCTCGGGCCCGCGCACGGCGCCCGGCCCTTGGCGTACCAGGTGAGGTCGCGGCCCTTCTGCCAGCGGCCTACGGGCGCCATCAGCGAGTTGCCTGCGGACGTAGGCGCCGTGAGTCCAGCGCCCGCCAGGGAGCCCGGAGCCCGGAGCCCGCCCGCCGCGCCCACCCACCCAGGTAGTTCTCCCGCTGCTTGTCAGTCTTCACGTCCTCCCAGTTGAACTGATCCTGACCGCCGCGCACGCCTCCGCGACTGGAGCCGAACATGGTGCTGGGGCGACCGTGGCCTGCGGCCGGCGACCTGAGACCCCGGACCCGCTACCCTCTACCGTCGGACCCTGGGCCGACCCCGCCTCCGCGTTGCGCGCCGTGACGTCACTCTTGAGCCCGCTCAGCTTCGTCCCGTGCGCCTGCGCAGCGCACTGTCCCGGCTCAGCGCTCTGGGCCCCGGCGGAATGCACCGCCCTCGCGCGCCTGCGCACTGCTGCACCGGCCCTGCCCGGCGGGGGAACGACTTTGAACTGGACGTTTAAAAAGGATTGAAATGGGCCGGGCGCGGTGGCTCAAGCCTGTAATCCCAGCACTTTGAGAGGCCGAGGGGGGCGGATCGCTTGAGGTCGGGAGTTCCAGACCAGTTTGGCTAACATCGTTAAATCCCGTCTCTACTAAAAACACAAAAATTATCTGGGCGTGGTGGTCCACACCTGTAATCCCAGCTACTCAGGAGGCTGAGGCAGGAGAATTGCTTGAACCCGGGAGGTGGAGGTTGCAGTGAGCCGAGATCGCGCCAGTGCACTCCAGCCTGGGCGACAGAAGGAGACTCTGTCTCCAATAATTGGAAAAAAAAAAAGGTTAAAATGGGCAGGACAGGAGCGCGCTTAGTCCCAACGGGACTACGGGAGGATCACTTGAGCCCATGAGATCCCTGTCTCGTTTAAAAAAAAAAAAAAAAAAAAAGAAAGAAAGAAAACTCCTAAGACAGGCCTAGCTAACACCATCAACTGGTTGGTCACCGCCGGCCGCGATTCCGTATGGGGCGCCTAACAAGGGAATGCCCTTAATGATTTGTGCAGTTTCTGAGAATTACCCAGTGAACTTGTGGATGAAAAAGCAGCTGCCCAGGCGCCCTCAGAGCTGGTCCTGTCCCCGCTGCGGTAACTGAATGTGCACATGTGAAATCCTCACCCCAAGGCGCTGGTGTTTCAGAGGTGACTAGGTCAAGAGGGCAGAGCCTTCTTAAAGGGACTCCAAGGGCTTGTGCAGCTTTCCACTGCGTGAAGGCGGCGGGAAGGTGTGGATGGGAGACCCCGCAAGGGCCAAGGCAAGGAAGGCTCTGAAGCCTCAGCCTGTTCCCATATAAATATTGAACTAGAAAAGAATTAGCGATATAGTCACAGTTATTCCTATAATCATAATCACATATGCATATGTAATCATATATATATATACTCAATATAACCTTTTAATTTTGCTGATGATTCTCGGGCCATGAAGCATGGAACTGAAGTAACATTGTGAAAGAGGTGACCCTAGAGCAAGGTGCTCTAAGCCCTCTGTCACACCTGCTTAAGGGCTGCTGGAAGGCACCTCGGCTGTGCGGCAGCGCCAGCATTAGCGCTGGGAAAGCGCCCGCTGTTTAGCCAGCTAGGGAAGGAGACGTCTGACATGTCTCCTCCCTTGGAGGACTTAGGAGAAAACTCTGCTCCCCGCAAGCTCTTGCGGTAGGCCTGGTGGCTGTCAGGGAGGCCTGCAGACATTCAGGGGCTTAACCGTCTCTATGCTGTGCTGTGCCTCAGCGGTGACGTTCCATGGCTACCTTCATGTTCCGCTTCTGCACCTGGTTCCTCTTCTTGGATTAGAATGAGTAAAAGTAACATAAATTTTAATGTCTTTGTTCTTTCTCGACAAGTATGAAGAAGTGCTGATGCATTAGGTTTTCTCCTCGCCTCCTCCACTTTAAGGACCTGGGCCCCGATCTCCAAGACACGTGATTTACCTGACCCTATCACTGACCGCCACTGCCTCACCCTACCTACCCGGCCCTCTGCTTTGTACTCAATAAAAGTCAGAGTGTCCAGCCACTCGGGGCCACTGCTGGTCTCCATGTATACTGGTTAGCAGTAGACCCCTGGGCCCAGACTTTTTTCTATCTCAGCATCTTGTGTCTTTTATTTCCAGTTTCTCATCTCTGCGCCAGTAGAGAGGGGCTCAAAGGACCCTATAGGGCTGGACCCTGTAGGAAGAAAGTGTGCAGTCTGGAAGAGACCCCTCACTAGAACCTCAGCATGCTGGGCACCCTGGTTTTGGACATTGTGGCGTCCCCCTGCTTCCCCCTTCACTTCATTCCCAGCGCTGACCGAGAAAGAGTCCCTTGGCTGCTCTGTGACCTGGGCAGCGATGTTTTCCTCTGCAGACTGAACCCGCGCAGCAGCCTTGAATGTTGCCAGGCACAGATGAAAGCATCTAGGTTGTTTCTCAAAACAGAAACTGGACCCAGCCTGAGCCTGCTTTCTTAAACCCTCATAAAAACTTCATTCTCCAACTCCCTCCCCGCGGATATACCTAGAGAACATTCATTTCACTGCCCGTGGAAGAACTGCTGCAGTCCGCTCTGTACGGAAGCTCTCGATAAATGCTCTGAGCACATCACCCTGGTGTGCTCAGTGTTTCTGTTGAATCCTAACCGGCCCCACCTCAGGATGGTGTGGGGCACTCCCTTGTGGGAACCCTCCTGCCACGACTTTTGGGGCAATTCCAGCCACAGGTTGAACTGGGTGAAAACACAGGTCTAGTGTCCAGAACTGTGCGAAATCTGTTTCTCAATGACCCAGCCCATGGGTCAGGCTGTTAGCACACCTGGCAGACGGCCCACATCTGGCTCATCCATCTACTCAGCAAGTACCAGCTGCCGTACGCCCCACTGCGGTGCTGCCTGAGTTCACATCATGGAGCAGGTGCATGGAGAGGGCAGAGCAGCAGGCCACATCCAGGCACACTGAAGGCCACTGGTCAACTCCTGGGAAGGCTCCCTTGGGTGGAGGGCATCATCTCCTGGGTGCTGGTACGGCTTGCCACATCAGGGTGGACTTGGCCGACGTGGCAGAGTTCGGCTGTGGAGTCTGACCCCTGACTGGATGTCAGGTATGGTGAAGGGACAGCAGGGCCAGGTGGACATCAGGCAGGAGTCCAGGATGGCTCTGAGGCTGGTCTGGGCAGCTATGAGGATGCAGCCACTTAGCAACATGAGGACCAGGTTTGTGGGGAAGAGACCAGGTCAGTTTTGAGCCCGTTAGCCTGACAAGCCATAGGCCACAGGAGGGGTTACTGGGGTGGAGGTGGCATGGCCTGCCTGCTGGGTGGCGGCATTAAGTCACAGTGGTGCCCTCTATGTAGACAGCAGTGAAGCTGGACCCAGGAGGGTGGAGGTCAGGGAGCAGAGGGGTGGTGGGGGTCCCGGGGGAGCCCACTAGAGCAGGAGGAGGCTGGGTACAGTGGAGGAAGGGCCAAGTGAGTCCACAGTACAGCCAGGCAGCCAGCTCTATATGCCACAGGGATTAAGGCCACAAATTCAGAGACGGGGCTCCATGGAGCCTGTTCAGGAAGTAACCCCGCAAGGCAGAATCCCAGGTGGCCACACGGCCCATCCACATGAGGTCAGCCACTGCCAGGCCACAGGGCATCCCTTCCCAGGCAGCCACACAGCCCATCCACGTGAGGTCAGCCACTGCCAGGCCACAGGGCATCCCTTCCCAGGTGGCCACACAGCCCATCCACGTGAGGTCAGCCACTGCCAGGCCATAGGGCATCCCTTCCCAGGCAGCCACATGGCCCATCCACATGAGGTCAGCCACTGCCAGGCCACAAGGCATCCCTTCCCAGGCAGCCACACAGCCCATCCACATGAGGTCAGGCACTGCTGGGCCACAGGGCCGGAGTCCCAGGTGGCCACACAGCACATCCAGGTGAGCTCAGGCACTGCCGGGCCACAGGGCCAGAGGACATCCCTTGTAGACTCTCCTCAGCTGAAGGCCAGAGGGATGGGAAAAGGGCCAGGAACAAACTTAAGGGGCAAGGGAAGGGCCTGCGAGGTGGGGACGCTGCCCAGTTCCTCAGTTGGCAGCACTGCCATCACAGGACCATGGCAGAGCACACTCCCACCTCCCCGGCAATTCCAGACCACTGCAAGAACTCCCTGTTGGGCACCAGGTGTCAGAGATAGCCTGCCAGCTGGGATCCAGTAACACCCCAAGACAAGGACAGGAAGCAGTCTGGGCCCTCAGCTGTCCCAAACCCCGGCTGGTGCACACATGGAAGGCACCCGCACATCAGCGGGAGCCAGTTCTGAGGAAACCCGGGCTGGTGTGCACGTGGAAGGCACCCGCACATCAGCAGGAGCTGCTTTGAGTGAAACCAGCCTCTGGACAGATGGAACAAGTCTGTGGTTCCCCCTGGGCTGTGTGTAACCCCATGAGGAGTCACAGACAACCAGGGCTGACTGCTCCTCTGGGGACCCTCCCAAGGCAGAAGCTTCCCAGGAGCAGTGTGAGAATGCAGGCCCAGGGCAGGAGCTGCGGGCTATGTCCATGGGGAAGGGTGGTCCTAGGGCTGCCCCACCGAAGCTGATGCCTTGAGCCTGGAAAACCCAGCCCCTCCTAGGAACCAACCTGAGGCCCACTGTGCTGTAGCCCTGGTGCCCCTGAGGCTGGGAAGGCAGAGCTTGGTGTTGGGTGCTGCCCACATGGTTGTCTGTGTGCCACAGCCCCAGAGCAGTGTCCAAAACCCTCAACCCTTGCCCCGCTTGTCCACGGAGCCCTCTCTATGCTTGAGCTGGTGCTTTTCAGGGGACAAGCTGCCAGGCTGGGGCACACACCAAGTGAGAAGACAGACACAGACACGGACTCCAGGTGGCAGCTTTGAGAGTGGGAATTTAAGAACCGCTCTCCCATCTTAGCAATGTCCCGGCGTGGCTGGAGCCACGGTCACTTCTTGGTCTTGGCCCAGAACTGTCGGTAGCGCTCCACATCAAAGTCATCACTGAGCTCCTCCTCGTATTCCTTCGTCCGCTGGAGCTGAGCCTCACGCCTCCGCAGCCTGGCCCGGCGCTCCTCAGGAGTCAGGGTGTCCAGATCTATGGGCATCTGCAGGGGACAGACCAAGTTTCGTCCATGTGGATGGAGGGACCTTGAGAGCTACTGAAGTGACAGCCCAAGGCCTTCCTCTCGACTTGTGTCTTCCATCCTATGCTAGCTTCATTTTCATTCTACTGGTCTCTCTCTTCAAAGCTTTCAATCTTTAAAATAAAATATTCTGTGTTTTCCCCAGATTTGATGTTTATAAAAACACACAAGGCCAGGCATGGTGCCTCATGCCTGTAATCCCAGCACTTTGGGAGGGTGAGGTGAGAGGACTGCTTGAGCCCAGAAGTTCAAGACCAGCCTAGGCAACACAAAGACCCCATCTCTTGTATAAGAGCTAAAGAAAAAAATGAGACCCCATCTCTACAAAAAAGTCTTTAAAAAAATTAGCAAAGCATGGTGGTATGCACCTGCAGTCCCAGCTACTGGGCAGGCTGAGGTGGGAGGACCACATGAGCCTAGAGAGTCAGGGCTTCAGTGAGCCGAGACTGTGCCACTGCACTCCAGCCTGGTTGACAGAGCAAGACCCTGTCCCAAAAAATAAATTTAAAAATAAAAACACAGGCCGGGTACGGTGGCTCATGCCTGTAATCCCAGCACTTTGGGAGGCCGAGGTGGGTGGATCACGAGGTCGAGATCAAGACTATCCTGGCCAATGTAGTGAAACCCCGTCTCTACTAAAAAATTACAAAAATTAGCTGGGCGTGGTGGCACGTGCCTGTAGTCCCAGCTACTCCGGAGGCTGAGGCAGGAGAACTGCTTAAAGCCAGCAGGCAGAGGTTGCAGTGAGCCAGTATCATGCCACTGCACTCCAGCCTGGCACCTGGCAAAAGAGTGAGATTCTGCCTCAAAAAAACCAAAAAACAAAAAAACACACTAGTGGTTACTCCCCATCTAATGTTGGTGCTTAGAGGCAGTTTTGGATGTCACCCTCCTCCACTTCTCCAACAGCCACCTGCTCCCCCGACTCCTGTCATGTGGCACAGTGACCACAGCCACATTCCCTCCTGAGGCGAATGGCCACCAGCACTCCCACCACAGGCCCGCCCCAAGCCTGGCACCTGGAAGCACCTGGCAAGAAAAGCTTACCGCCAGCATGCGCCGTGGCTCCCTGTAGCGGATGTGGACGGTCGAGCCATCCTGTTTCACCAGCAGCACGGGGTAGAGGCGTGCATAGGCCTGGCGGCGCACACGAGCAAATGAGGCCCTGCTGCTGTCGGCCCGCCAGGAGGATGTATGCAGGCAGCGGAGTGCAGACCCAGTGGCCTTCACAGCGCTGCATCTTAGCAGGCTGCAGATAAACATGCAAGCGCTGGTCAGCCGACACTGCCGCAGCAGAGTCCCAACATGACTGAGGCTGGCCGTGATGGGGCACTGCCAGGCCACAGGAGACACTACCAGAGCTGGCATATGCCAGGATGAGCCTAGTTTCCTGAGGAGCCGCAGGCTGTGGTCAGAGCCGCTCTGGCTCCCTAGCCAGGAAGAGGCTGCCAGACTGAGTAAGGGCACGAGGCTTCCAGCACAGGGGACAGTGGACAATAGCTGGGACAAGGGAGGCTTAGAACTACCGTTTCCTGCTGAAGAGAGGGGTTCCCTGGGGTGCCCCTAACAGCAATCCCCAGGGACCTGAAAGTTCATGCTTACCCAAGCAAGCTACCCACTGCCGCCATTCCTCCTCAGAGCCCCAGTGGCACGTGGAGGTGGTCAGTACAGGTCCTGGCGTGCAACCTGCTAGGCAGAGAATGGAGAGATCTTTTTTTAAAGGAAAGTTCTTCCACCTAATGGGTTCTCATCAAATCCCAGCCCAGGATGTAGCCACAGACCCCAGTATACCTCCAAGACACATGTAATCTCCATGTCACTCACCAACCTCTCCGCTTCTGTCGCTGTGGAGGGGCCTGATAACACTTAGACTTCTCAGAACCGCCTGTAGTGGTGTTTCCAAAAGCAGAAGTTGGTCACTACTCCCAAAGATTCTGGAACAGTCTGCAGCAGGGCCTAGGCTGTCTGTTCTGGCCGTTACGGAGTCTGGGAAACCTCTCTGAATGGACTGTAGCCTCAAAAGTGGAGCTGGGCTCATGGCTCATGCCTTGGTTTCTTTTCTTTTCTTTTTTTTTGAGATGGAGTCTCGCTCTATCACCAGGCTGGAGGGCAGCGGGCCCAATCTTGGCTCACTGCAACCTTCACCTCCCAGGTTCAAGCAATTAACCTGCCTCAGCGTCCCGAGACGCTGGGACTACAGGTGTATGCCACCATGCCTAGCTAATTTTTGTATTTTTAGTAGAGATGGGGTTTCATCATGTTGGCCAGGATGCGCCTGACCTCATGATGCCCACCTTGGCCTCCCAAAGTGCTGGGATTACAGGCGTGAGCCACCACGTCCAGCTCATGCCTTGCTTTCTAAGGTCATTGCTAGTTTTTATAAACACCCAGCGAGGCAAGGATGGTCATGTTACAGGAGAGTGGAGGCTCAGGGCTGCTTTGCTGTGACCTGGATTCCCATGGGAGGTTGTGCTGTGGTGTCCGAGGTAAAAGCCCAGTTTCCAGTACTCAGATTCCAGGAGATGAGGCTGCACGGAGGCCGAGCGCCCAGCTCCCTCTGGCGTACCTCTATCTCTCACACCAATGAAGGACCTGAAGACAGGTCCTGCTGCATCTAAAATGGAAATCCTGCTCTGTGTCCTATGCCCACATCCCTCTCTCTCGGTCTCACCAGCACAGGAGCCTGCGGCTGGTCCAGGAGGGTCTTCGGAGGAAGCTCCCTCTCCCTTCCCGCTAGAACCCACGGGGATAATGGCCCAGGACAGATGCAGCCCCCGTCCCCTTCCCTGCCTCCCTCCCTCCCTCCCGACTCCACGGGATACAGCGCCCGTTTCTGCTCCCAGCCACATGAGGTGCCAACCTGCGGCCGCTTCTGTCGCTGCGGAGAGGCCTGATAACAGGCGGTCCGGACTTCCAGGTAGGAAACTAAGGCAAAGACGAAGACACGCATAAGGTCACGGCACACTCACCGCCTTGCATGCTGCGGCGCGCAGCCAAGACGTCACTGGCAGACGCCGTGTCGCGCGGTATGACGTTTCCCGCGGCGGGGCGAGGCAAGAGTGGGCGAGGCACGAAGATCTACCCCCTATTGGGCGGGGCCGGCGCTGTGTGACGTATCATGGGAGCGGAGCGAACCGTGCGTGGGCGTGGTCTGTGCGACGCTGTGGCGTACGAGGACCGAGGTGGGCCGAGCGGTGGTGACCTCCGTTCCTACGGGGCCCACCGGGGCGGGCAGGCGGGGTTGAGGGGGACCCCCGGGATCGAGGGAGGATCCAGGAGGGCTGAGGGAGGATCCGCGGGGCTGAGGGAGGATCTGCGGGGCTGAGGGAGGATGGGGGGGAGGGAGGATCCGCGGGGCTGAGGGAGGACCCAGGTGGGGCTGAGGGAGGACCCAGGTGGGACTGAGAGAGGATCCGCGGGGCTGAGGGAGGATCTGCGGGGCTGAGGGAGGACCCAGGTGGGGCTGAGGGAGGTTCCAGGGGAGCTGAAGGGGACACAGCAGACGGACTGAGGGAGGACCCAGGGGGGCTAAAGAGGGACACAGCGGGCTGAGGGGGATCTGACAGGCTGAGGAGGGATCCGTGGGGCTGAAGGAGGATCCGAAAGGCTGATACAGCGAGGCTGAGGGGGGATCTGCAAGGTTGGCGGGGGCCGAGGAATACCCTATAGTTCACCACAAAATGAAGTCATTTGTGTCACAACATAATGAAAATGGAGAGGGGAGGGCCCTAAGGAAGCTGCTGCCACACAGTTCGGAAATGCCGGCGAGGCTCGCTAGTACCTTGTGAACAGAGCTTCTTCCTGCCATTTCCACTGGCCGGCAGGATTCTAGACGAGATGCCTGGACCAGGGCAGGCGGAGAGCATCGCTTATCTGTCCCAGCAAACCAGGGTTGCTTTGTGCAATGCATTCCTGAGACTAGGACCTTTGTTTAGTGAAAGTTACAGATGAGGAATGTGATCACTTGTTCAGGGCTGGAAAGGACAGGAGGCTCAGGCTGAGTGTCTGCAGTAAGAACTGTTTGCAAGGACTTTCTGAAAACCCCACAAGAAACCCTTTTGTGTCCTTCGCGGGTCTCCTACTTGGACAGAATTTAGACCATCTTTAGGACGGCAGTAATTCAGATAAGATGCTCCAAATAAACACGTCCAGTAATGGCAGCTCCACCAATGAACTGAGGACAACTTTGAGCTTCGGCATTGGGCCTCTGGAACCAAGAATTCTTTCTAAGCAGCTTCTGTGAACCTGTCCCTTTCGGCTAATAAAAAGTTCTGTTTACCCTTCCCTTACCAGGAGTTCTGGTGGCTTGGTGTTGTTGACAAAAAGAATCAAACTCTGTAAAATATTTTAAGAGATTTATTCTGAGCCAAATATGAGTAACCATGGCCTGTGACACAGCCCTGAGGACAGAGGTCCTGAGAACAGGTGTCTAAGGTGGTTGGGGTGCAGCTTGGTTTTATGCATTTTAGTGAGGCATGAAACAATCAATCAAATACATTTAAAACCTACATTGGTTTGGTTCAGAAAGGCAGGACAATTTGAAGTAGGGGTCGAGGGTGGTGACTTTCAGCTTACAAGTAGATTTAAAATTTTTCTGGTTGAGGATTGGTTGAATTTACCTAAAGACCTGGGATTAACAGAAAGGAATGTCTGGGTTAAGATAAAGCATTGTGGGGACCAAAGTTCTTATTTGCAGAGGAAGCCTTCAGGTAGTAGGCTTCAGAGAGAATCGGCTGTAAAATGTTTGTATCAGACTTGAAGTCTACGTAGATGTTAATGCCAGGGAGGTATAATGAGGCGCATCTGACCTCCACTTCTCATCATGACCTGAACCAGTCTTTCAAGTCAAATTTTAAGAGTTCGAGGTCAGGCACAGTGGCTGACACCTGTAATCCCAGCACTTTGGGAGGCCAAGGTGGGTGAATCACTTGAGGTCAAGAGTTCAAGGCCAGTCTGGCCAATAGAGTGAAACCTGATCTCTACTAAAAAAATACAAAAATTAGCCAGGCATGGTGGTGTGCGCCTCTAATCTCAGCTACTCGGGAGGGTGAGGCAGGAGAATTGTTTGAACCCAGGAGGTGGAGGTTGCAGTGAGCAGAGGTGGCACCACTGTACTCCAGCCTGGGTGACAGAGCAAGACTTTGTCTCAAAAAGAAAAAAAAAAGAGTTCCTTGGCCAAGGAGGAAATCCATTTAAATGGTTGGGGAGCCTTAGAATTTTATTTTTTATTTTTAGTTTACATTTGATTTAAAAAAAACTTCAGCCAAATTAAAGTTTAATTGGACAATGAACGATTCATGAATTGCGCAGACTCCAGAATCACAGCAGATTCACAGAGACTCCAGTGCGGCCACATGGTGGAAGATATGGAGACAAAGAAAGACAACTGACGTACAGAAATCGAAAGTGACGTACAGAATGGCTGGGTTGGTCACAGGCTGGCGTTTGCCTTATTTGAACACGGTTGGAACACCACAGTGTGTGAATGAAGTCCAGCCTCAGGGCTGGCCGAAACTCTGCTATTGCTACAGCTGCGCACTCCTGTTAGGTTTTGAGTCTATCTATTAAGCCGGGTTGCAGTTCCTCCATAAAGACTCCAATATGGAAGTACAAAGTCCTTCTCAGGCCATGTTTAGTTCACTTTAACAACTCCCCTCTTTTGGTCATTTTCTGAATTTTGAGAGATTGACCAAAACCTTAGTTATGGTTGTCACTATCCCCATTGTCAGTGCAGTCATTCGCTCCTGAAACCCACTGGGAAACAGTAGAGCCGTAAGTTTCCAAAGGTGGGAACAAGGATTGAGTAGAAAGTACCTGCTTATGCTGGAACATCTGTTTACAGGAGAAAAAATCTGGGCTGCTCTGTTCTAGGATTTGTGTGTATCCTTCAAGTCTTGGTCTGATTATGTTGCCTTAACACAAATGACTCCATTTTAGTTTGGTTTGGCCTGTTGGGACCTCATGCATGAGTCTGAAACAGTGGCCTCTCATAAATTTGTTTTAAAAAAGATTATCCCTTTTTGGTCAGGTTCTCACTTAAGCAAGAGAGTGACTAATACTTAGGGCCTTAGCACCTCTCTCTGTTGCCATCATGTTGGGTTTCTGGGGTCGGCATTCTTCGTAGGTTATGGTATCCTCGTGGCCACATACTTCTTTAGCTCTTTCATTACAGTTGAAGAGAGACTGTATGTTCTAGAGATGGCTGCATGCAAACATTTACAGCCTTTGAGACTACAGCACACCAGGGAGACTACTATTATGACTATTGGGAGTTTGGAGTATGTTCCTTACCCAGGGTCCTCATAAACCAAACCACCTAAAATAAAATAGATTAAAGAATGAGCTAGATGAAGAGTCCACTCGCTTGACCAAGTGGTTTTTTTAATTGATCTCCTACAACTGAATTTGTATAATCTACATTTAATGTGTTCCTCCATGGACCACAGGTGCCAACGTTGGCACAGGGATTTTTCTGTTTAGCTAATTCTATTATTTAGCATAACTTTCACAAGAGAATTTAAAGTCTGTTGTGTAACGATAGCCTTTACAGTAGAATCTGCTCGAGAGCCTATTATGCGGAATACATTTCTAACCATTGCCCATTTTATTCTAAACCAGAAAAAGGACCTGACAAATGATGTCCTTCTAGAAGAGTGAAGGCCTCCTGGCAATGTTCTCTTTAACCCACGATGTGGACTAAGAGGAGCTTTTACTAATTATGAGGAAATGTGTATGTGCTGTTCAAGTTTTTTTTTTTTTGCCTACATTGGACCTTCATCTTTTATCTATCAAAGTATAAGATTACTCGTGTATAAGGCTGGCTGCAAAATCCTTCACAAATAAAAGTATACCCTATAAGTGAACATAATAGAATCCCTTTTCATTTCTATTGTTCATAGCGGCATAAACAAGGAAAAAATATTTGAAGATAAGAGTCTTATGATAGTACAAGTCTTCATCTGTGATCTTGGGAAAAGCTGTTCACATCAAGGATGCCATCTTTTTCTGGGGAGAAACTTCCCTGGTTACTTTTACCTTAGGGATTCCAATGAGTGTACCATTCCACAAGTGTGGAGGGACCCTTCTCAGTTGTTTGATTTGGAACCCAAGCTTCCAAAGTTCTGCTGCAGTGTGGAAGACAGTCTTTCTCTGATGTTCTCGGAAGAGTCAGTCTTCAGGTTCTAGATTGTGAAGGGGTTGATCGTCCTCAGTGAACCGTAAGAAGTTTTCTTTATCTGGTGAAAATATACTCTGGCATAATAATTAGCTGTTATAACATAAAACATGCATTGAAAATGACAGTAGAATGAAATCCCTTTGTACATGATTAGATGACACATCAGGTGGCCAAATGTACCTGAAGTTTTGATGACCTTCCCAGGAATATGGAACAAAGCATTAGTTTTGCTTTTTTTATTGTTTTTACAAGAATCATCTACTTATTTTACAGAGTAATGATTTAAATTGAGTACATTGGTGCTCAGTACATATTTGACATTAAAAGTAGTTGTATCAGAATAGGCATCAGAACAATACCAGCTCATCTTACACTACTACAAAATATTATTCTGTCTGATCATTTAAGTGTTAAAATCCTGAGAATGTTATACACTGAACAGATTAGGTACTACCTTAAAATTAAATCTCACTTGGAAAAAATCCTTTCAAAAATGCTCTGTGGTACAAATCACCTATGTATTAAGCATGAGTCTGACGTTATATGAAGAGTTTAAACAAATATATCAATTACACTTCGGTGGCTCTTAAAACAGGTACCAGTCAGGTTCAAGGGCACACTTCCCCTAAGTTGGGGTTTTCAATTGCAGCCACCACTCTTTCTTTGTCATTTATCTCCTTATTGATGTCTTCTTCTGTTGAGTGGCTTCCTTCAGAAATGTAGATTTCCGACTTATGTTTAAATGGTAAACATGGCTTAAGTTTTAAGCACAGCTCCATAGGAGTCACCAAATATCAATGCGGTACTGTGGTGTCACCTTGATAATAACCACATAGTCTTGTTCGTTTATCTTCTGAACTTCCACACAACTTTCCATTGCCAATTCCAGTTCTTCTAAAATATTAGGCTTTTCTGGGTCTGGGATAGTTTGAATCAAATCATAAACCTCTAGCACTTTCTCTTCCATGATCCAGGGCTGCCAGGCAGCTCCCTGCTCAGAGAGGTCTGAGAGCCACAGGACTCTGCTTGTGTCCAGGAGAGCAGCCCAGATGCCCCCTCCATCCTCAGCTCTGCCATCCCTGGTGACTGTGGAAGCATTAGTTTTAAACAGTTTTCACAATTTATAAGTCAACCACGTCAGTATATTCAATTTGGATTATTTTATCTTTTCCATGATGAGTCATAAAATACAGAACCTTTAATAACAAAAGCCTTAAGGCCCAGGAGGAACAAGGCGGCCGTCTTGGCTCTCCGTGAGTCATGCTTAACATTGGACTATGTCCTCTTGAATACCAGTTGTTTCTCCAATTTAGGGCACAGCACTGATAACTAGTGGGTTAGACCTTGGAGCTCAAATTGCATATCTAAACAATTTCAGTATTGGCTGGTCTAACATGAAAAATCTGGCAAAGTATTTTCTTCATATTTAATTAATTTTTTCTTTTTTTGAGACAGGCTCATTCTGTCACCCAGGATAGAGTGTAGTGGCATGATCTCAGCCATCACATTGCAGTCTCCACCTCCTGAAGGAGGATTGCTCCACCTTCAAGCAATCCTCCTGCCTCAGCCTCCCCAGTAGCTGAGATTAGAGACTCATGCCACCATGACCAGCTAATTTTTGTATTTTTAGTAGATATGGGGTTTTGCCATGTTGGCCAGGTTGGTCTTGAACTCCTAGCCTCAAGTGATCCACCTGTTTTAGCCTCCCAAAGTGCTGGGATTACAGGCATGAGTCACAGTGCCTGGTCTGGCCACATTTTTTGACAAACATCATGCAGGAATTTCTTTCTCCCAAATGGGGAAAATAATTTTGGGATTTGACAAACCAGATCAAACCGACTCAATCCTGGAACTTCCTGACTCTTTAAATTACCTCAAACAAGGAAGATCTATTGGTCATAGAAGCCATCACTGCAGATTATAAGGCACAGATCTTGTTACGTCGTGTACAGTTCTTTAAGACTCCAATTATGCCAGTAAAGAAACTTAATGGTTGTGGGTAGAGAGTTGTTCAAGATCTTTGCATGATAAACAATATGGTTGCACCTCACCACTCAGTCGGCCCAAACCCCCATGCTTTGCTGACCTCAATCCCAACTGATGATAAGTTCTTCACTGCAATTGACCTGTACAGTGTATTCCTTAACCTCAGGTCTGCCAGGCCAGTCAAGACCTTTGCTTTCACTCGGGAAGGCCAACAGTATACCTGGACAGTCATGCCCAGTGCTGCACTGAGAGCCTGTCTTACTTCCAAATTCTAAAGGCTAACCTAAAGGGTGTCGCTTTCCTCCTGGGTCCACTTTACTGCAATATGTGATGACCTTCATTGTTCTCCCTCAAGGCAGCATGTGAGGTGTACACCCGTTAAAACTCCTAGCTCCTAAAGGCCTTTAGGTAGCTAAGGAAAAATTACAACTGGTAAAAACCCAGGACAAATATTTAGGCCACCTAACTTCACAAAGTGGACCACACTCAGACCCAGATTGCATACAAGACATTTTATAATTCCTGAAATCCAGAACTGAACACCTGCTCTGTGGATTTCTTGGGCTTGCTGGATACTCAGGTCTTCTATTCTGGCCCAACCCCTCTGCCGAAATCACCAAACCTGACCCCATTGTTTGCGAAGAGCCACAAGATGTGGCTTTTGACAAGCTAAACAGGGAATTTTATTAAATCCCCCAGTCTTGGGACACCCTAATTATCAACTGCTATGGTCTAAATGTTTTGTCTCCTCCAAAACTCATGTTGAAACTTAATCCTCAGGGTAGCAGTATTGAGAAGTATGGCCTTTAGAAGGTGATTCTCAGGAGGGTTCTGCTGTCATGAATGGGTTAATCTATGCATGGATTTGGGGACTAATGGGTTAATTGATTATAGGGCTATCCTGGGAGTGAGACTGCGTCTTTAGAAGAGGAAGAGAAACACCCTCACCATGTGATGTCCTGAGCCTCCTCCCCCAGGAAGGCCATCAGCAGACACGCCCTCTTGATTTTGGACTTGGCAGCCTCCAGGACTGTGAGAAATAAATTCTTTTCCTTTACTTATTACCCAGCCTCAGGTATTTGGTTACGTCAACAGAAGGCTAAAGCAACTCCTCTTCTTCTCTTGATCTTAGCCAAAAGGCCAAGGAGCAACACAACCCACTTCTTCCTTTCTGTACATGAAAAAGAAGGAAGCAGCACTTTTAACTGAAAAGCATGCAGCTGGGCATGGTTGGGGGGCTGAGGTTGGAGGATCACTTAAGACAAGAGTTTGAGACCCCCCTCTAAAAACATTAAACATTAGCCAGGCATGGTAGAATACCTGTAGTCCTATCTACTTGGGAGCTGAGGTGGGAGGGTCATTTGAACCTGGCAGTTGGAGGCTACAGTGAGTTATGATCATGCCACTGCACTCCAGCCTGAGTGACAGAGCGAGACTCTGTCTCTAAAGAAAATTGAAATTAAAGTGTTTTAAAAGCATGGAGATCAGTATATTCCCATAAGAGACTACAGTGAGCAGTGGGACCTGGGAGCTTGCGGCTCTCCCTGTCTGAGGGCTATCCCTGCCAACAGCCTGTGGGTCAAATGCACCGAAGACATCGTCAGGGATGTCCTTGCACCTCTTTTGTGGCCCACGCTGTGGAAAGCCTCTCAGTCTCATCGTACTCAGCACTTTCATTCTAGCCACCTGACTTTTTATGAGGTCCTTCTGTTACCCACTCCCCATATGACTGTCTCTTCCTGTAATAATTTTAATTCTTCTACTTTCCTTCCTCTCTACTCCGGGGCGAGATGCCACGACTGTCTGATTTTAATGGATCATCTTTTTTAACTCCCCGAAAGGATTTCCAGAAAACTCCCCTGGGCAACGCGAAGCTATCCCGGTTCACAGGATGGTCTCTTGCTTTGCATTTGGGAAAGCAGCCCCTTGGCCGCCAGCCACCTCAGCCCAGCAGGCGGAGCTATTTGCCCTCACTGGAGCCTGCTTCCCCGCTAAGAGGAAACTGCTTAACCTTCATACAGACAGCAGGCAGGCATTTGCAGTTGCTCATGATTTTGGAATGTTGTGGAAACAGGTTTCCTCACTTTCATAATGAACCTTATGATTTGTTAGATGCAATACAGACACCTGCTGCTGTGGCCATGATGAAGGTTCCAGGCCATTTGAAACCAGACTCTGCGGAGGCCAGAGAATGCCATCTTGCTGAGAATATTGCTAAGAATGCTGCCCTTAAGAGTCCTACTGATTAACCGGGCACACTGGCTTATGCCTGTAATCTCAGCACTTTGGGAGGCCGAGGGAGGCGGATCACAAGGTTAGGAGCTCGAGATCAGCCTAACCAACCTGGTGAAATCCCACCTCTACTAAAAATACAAAAATTAGCCAGGCATTAGGAGGGTGAGGCAGGAGAATCACTTGAACCCAGGGAGCAGAGGTTGCAGTGAGCCGAGATCGCTGCACTCCAGCCTGGGCGACAGGGTGAGACTCCATCTCAAAAATAAATAAAAATGTGTGATCATGAAAATGAAGACACTGTAATCTGTCAATGATGTATTCGGACCAGAAACCCAAAGTGATGGTAACTGAGAGGAATTTAAGTCCTAAGTGTTGGTTGGGCTAGGTGAGAGCCTGATCAAAATCGGTAAAAATTGTTTTAAAAAATCGGGGGAGGCCAATGTTTTGGACTGAGCTCTTGCATTAGGACCCAACCAGACCAGACCAAACCAAAATCAAATCACTTATGTTAAAGACACATAAGTAAATAGATCCCAAAACAGACCAGTTTTTCTTCAGTCAGCATAAGGAAGTCCCCTTACAAAAGAGTAACTAGAAGTAAGCTAAGGTAAGTAAGCCTTTTCTTTTTCTTTCTTTCTTTTTTTTTTGTGGTGGGGAAACCCCTCAAGAACCAAGGCAAGGGTCTGCGGCCTCAGTCTGTTCTCATATAAATACAGAATTATAAAAGAATTAGAGACATTGTTACAGTGATTCATCTATATAATCATGAAATAATCACATAGCTATTCACATGTAATCATAAATATACATATATACAATCACATACGCTTTAGTTTTACTAGTAAGTCTCAGGTCGGGAAGTATGGAACCGAAGTGGCATTGGAAAAGAGGGGACCTTAAGGCAAGGTGCTCTGAGCCCTCTGTCCCGCCCGCATGAGGGCTGCTGGAGGGCGCCTTGGCTGTGCGGCAGCGCCAGCGCTGTGAAAACGTCCGCTGTTCAGCCAGTGAGGGAAGGAAACGTCCAAGATGGCCGAGGCATCCCCTTCCTTGGGGGAGTGAGGAGAAAACTCCGCTTGTCCAAGCCCTTGCGGTGGGCCTGCGGCTGTCGGGGAGGCCCGCAGACGCCGGGGACTTCACTGTCTGTGCGGTGCTGTGCCTCAGCGGTCAAGCCCCATGGCTGCTTTCAAGTCCTGCCTCTGCACCTGGTTCCTCTTTCTTCTGAGATAAGAATTAATCACAGTAACATAAATGTTAACGTCCTTGATAGTCTTGACAAATATGAAAAACGTGCTGACGCATTAGGTCTTCTCCTCGCCTCAGCTTCTTGAAAATCCTGAGCCCCTGTGTCCAAGGCACGTGACTCTCCTGACCCTGTCACCGACCCCCATTACCTCACCCTACCTACCTGCCCCCTGCTTTGTACTCAGAAAAAGTCAGAGCGTCCAGGCACTCGGGGCCGGACCCCACACTGGGTAGCAGCGGACCCTGGGCCCAAACTCCCTTTTCTCTGTCTCTGTGTCCTGCATCTTTATTTTCACAGTTTCTCATCTCCACACCTGTAGAGAGGGACTCACAGGACCCTGTAGGGCTGGACCCTATAGTTATCAATCTGTTACTTTTCTTTTTTTTCTTTTCTTGAGAAAAAGTCTCTTTCTGTTGCCTAGGCTGAAGTGTAATGGTGCAATCTCTGCTCACTGTAATCTCCACCTCCTGGGTTCAAGTGATTCTCCCGCCTCAGCCTCCCAGAGAGCTGGCACTACAGGCGTGCGCCACTACGCCCGGATAATTTTTGCATTTTTAGTTGAGACAAGGTTTCACCATATTGGCCAGGCTGGTCTCAAACTCCTGACCTTAGGTGATCCATCTGCCTCAGCCTCCCAAAGTGCTGGGATTACAGGTGTGAGCCACTACACCTGGCCCAGTCTGTTGTTTTTCTTTTTCTTTTGTTTTTTGAGATGGAGTCTTACTCTGTAGTCCAGGCTGGAAAGCAGAGGCTTGATCTCAGCTCACTGCAACCTCCACCTCCCAGGTCCTGGTTCAAGCAATTCTCCTACGTCAGCCTCCCAAGTAGTTGTGATTATAGGCAGGAGCCACCATGCCCAGCTAATTTTTGTAGTTTTTAGTAGAGATGGGGTTTCACCATGTTGGCCAGGCTGGTCTTGAACTCCGAGCCTCGTGATCTGCCCGCCTCAGCCTCCCAAAGTGCTGGGATTACAGGCATGAGCCACCATGCCTGGCCCAATCTGTTATTTTTCAATCTTTGTTTCTTCATTCTCCTCACCTTATAAAACCCACGCTCCTGCTAGCTCCCAGACAGGGGCTTTTCTTCTATTTTGTAGAATGCAGGCTGCCTGAATTCATGAATTACGAATAAAAGCCAAGACCAATGACTACATATGACATAACTTTGCCTGTGACAGTGAACTTTCCCTTTTCTGCCTAAAAGGCTTCTCCTTGCCCCACTCCCCCAGTGCAGCACCTATGGTCCCGTTACAGTGAATCCCAAGTTTCTCTGCAAAGAATCAGTATGACAGTATGTTCAGCTCTCTTATTCCTTAATTCTCTATTTAAAGCTTAACTTCCTTGTAATTCCAGTAAACAACCTTCTCCACCGGTTCTAATCAGTAGTTCGCCTCTGTTCCCCCAGCCCCCTGCTCCATTCTGACTCATCCCGGCCACCTGCTCCACTGACCCACCCGTAATCATCCTTCCCACCTGCCACTCCAGCTCGGACCCCTGCTCTCTTTAAAACAGCCAGTCAGGATTAGTCTAGCTTGTGAGGTCTACCCCTAGCCAATAGGGTACGATGCAGCAGTAGGGAAGACCCCCCCCCCCAATCAGGCAGAAGTACCCTTTCCCCCCTTGTCCAAGCATTCGGCCGCCATTGTTCCATCCCTACACTGCGCCCTTCTATAGAAGTAAACTGCCTTGCTGAGAGGACTTATGGAGTGCTATTTCTTTTGAGGCACTGAAATTTTACTTATAACAGTCTGACATAGCACATGTATTCCAGGTTGCAATCCCTTGCCCAACAAACTGTTTTATTATTACTATTTAAAAAACTAGAGACGAGGATTTGCCATGTTGCCTAGGCTGGTCTCAAACTACTGGGCAAGTGATCCATCCACGCTGGCCTCCAAAAGTGCTGTTCTCTACCACGCCTGGCCCCAACACATTTTTTTTTTAATTGTTTTATTTTTTAAAGTCTGAAGTTTTTTCTTGCCGTCCTGCAGTTCAAATTCAATAAATCTTTTTTTTTTTTTTGAGACAGAGTCTCACTCTGTTGTTCAGGCCAGAGTGCCATGGCTCAATCTCAGCTCACTGCAACCTCTGCCTGCCAAGTTCAAGCAATCCTCCTGCCTCAGCCTCCTGAGTAGCGGGATTACAGGGGTGCACCAACACATCTGGCTAATTTTGTATTTTTAGTAGAGATGGGGTTTCACCATGTTGGCGGCTGTTCCTGAACTCCTGGCCTCAGGTGATTGCCCATCTCAGACTCCCAAAGTGCTGGGATTACAGGCATGAGCCACCATGCCTGGCCTTCAATAAATATTTTTTTTAATTTTAAAGTAATTTTTAGAAATAGGGTTTCATGGCCAGGTGCAGTGGCTCATGCCTGTAATCTCAGTACTTTGGGAGGCCGAGGTGGGTGGATCACCTGAGGTTAGTAGTTCAAGACCAGCCTGACCAACATGATGAAACCCCATCTCTACTAGAAATACCAAAAGCTGGGTGTGGTAGCAGGCGCCTGTAGTCCCACCTACTCGGGAGGCTGAGGCAGGAGAATCGCTTGAACCCAAGAGGCAGAGGTTGCAGTGAGCGAGATCACACCATTGCACTCCAGCCTGGGTGACAAGAGTGAAACTCCGTGTCAAAAAAAAAAAAAAGGAATAAGGTATCACTTTGTCGCAGACACTGGAGTGCAATGGCATGGACACCGCTCACTGCACCCTTGACCTCCCAGGTTCAAGCGACCGCCGCACGTCAGCCTCCCGAGCAGCAAGGACCACAGGCATAGAAACGTTTTTAAAGCTTTTGGAACAGAAGGGGTTTCCCTATGGTGCCCAGGCTGGTCTCCAACTCCTGGCGTCAAGTGATCCTCCCACCTCGGCCTCCCAAAGAGCTGGGATCACAGACGTGAACCCCGCACCCGGCCACATTCCCAGGTTAACTGTTTTTGAAGAGTGGCCTCTCTGATGCTCAACGCAGGCTGACACAGGTCCTCCCTGCGGGTTGAAACGGGCCGGCGGGGTCGTCGGTCAGTTAGGTCCCTGCAGGGTCGATGGAGGGCGGAAGCGGCGCTGTGACATAACCGGGAGGCGGAGGGCTGGCGCAGCGCTGTGACTCAGCGGACGGAAGCAGCGCCCATGCCGCACCGAGGTACTCCTCTGAGGGACAGGGCGGTCAATGTACGGAGTGGGCGGGGCCGGCGGGTCGTGACGTCAGTACGCGCTGGGGGGACGCGGGCCTGAGCGGCTGGGAGGGCGGCGTGGTGTGCGCCCCTCCGGGCGCGACAGGCGGGCGCGGCGGTACCGTAAGCCCTTGCTGGCGGAAGCGGGGCCGGTGCGGCACTGAAGTACTTCCCTAAGGGCGGGGAGGAACGACACGTGGGCGGGACCGGCGCCTCATGACGTCATTCTCGCGCGCGGGCAGAGGTGGGCCGGCGCAGCGCTGTGACGTAATGTAGCGGACGAAGGTGGTGGCCCCGGATGTTGCGGCGCCCGCTGGCCGGGTTGGCTGCGGCCGCCCGGGTCCGGGCCCCTCCGGACGGTGAGTACGAGGGCGGTACCGAGGGTGAGTCGGTGCCTAGGCGACGTTGGCCCCTGCGCTTTGCAGGCGCCCAATCTGCGCCGCCTCCGGAGCTCCTCCTAGCCGGGATGCCCTGTGCTGCGTTCACCTGTGGGCCCTGAGAACTGGGGACCTTTGGAGGGCAGACGGGCAACGCAGCGGAGCCCCGGTTCCCGAGGGCGGGGCGCTCCTCCTCAGGAGCTGGGCCAGCCAGGAGTTTTCGCAGTGTCAGGCGGCTCCTCGGCGCGTAGGAGCGCACGGTGTCTTCCCGACAACAGGGCGCGCCGCCAAAGAGAGCAGCCAGGAATCCCTACCGCCGGGCCCGGCGGTGTGCGCTCCGGTTCCCACCCCACCCTGCGTGCCCGGGGGTCCTGGGAGGATGGAGCCGGTTACTCCGGGGCTCCTAGGATTCTGCGGGCGGTTCTTGCCTGCCCTGTGGCCCGGCGCAGAGACAGAGACTTCGGGAAACAGCAGGCCTTCCCGACGTCTGAGTGCGGCATTTGGGGTTCTGATTCTCCCAAGGCCAGAGTCCGGGTTGGGGTTCTTGAAGCTGCCCAGCTGCCGTTCTTGAGCGTTGCCTTAGAAGTATGCCCCAGGAAGGACTGCTGTGGGAAGCAGGTGCCTCAAAGTTGATTTTGACCGTGTGTGTGCTGGGCCTGGGTTTCGCCTCTGCATGAAACAGGCCGGCCGATTCTGGGGCCCCGGGTGGGTTCTGCTCTGCTGTCCTTGGGCTCCTGGCCCTTCCTTTCTCAGGCTTGCTCTGCCCGTTGCCTGGGGTTAGTTTCGAGGACCCTGTGGAAGACTCAGCCGGTTTTTCTTTCTTCTTGATGGACAGGCCCAAACGGCCGCGCAGCATCGTGGGCCTTCAAGGGTCTGTGGCTCTGGAGGGCCTGGTTTTCTCAGGAGGTAGAGGAACATTTCTCTCCCCCTGGGGAAAAAAAAGTGAAAACGAAAGCGCCCTGGCTGCTCCTGGTGCGGTCGGGTTTAAAACAAGGTTGCAGAAGGCTAGGACACGTGCTAGCCGGATGTGTGCCCAGAGCCTCTGCTGCCACAGCGGCCGCCTGGACCAGCAGCCCAGAGCCCAGGCCCGCGTCTGATGGCTTGCATCTTACTGAGAGGCCAGGCGGGAGCTGACTTCTCTCGGTTCTCAGAAGGTCGAGCCCTCTATTAGCATCTCCTGGAAGAGTGGGCCGAGGGCGGGGTGGTGACTGTGTTCAGTCCTCCGGATGGCTGGAAGCCAGAAGGAGGAGATTCTGCCGCCAGAGCAGGAAGTGCCTTTCTAGTAAAGCAGCTGCTGGGGCAGCATGGGGAGCCCATTCCAGGGAACGTTCTGGCAGAGAGCATTCCGGAACATGGATCCGTGCCAGGCTCCCAGGAGACCTTCCATCTCGGAGCTCCTGTGGAGACCATGTGCCTGGCGGGTCCTTACAGTTGTGGGTTGTGTGGCTTATTGCCAGGCAGCTGGATGGAGTTTGCGACTGTGGGTTGGTGAGAGTGGAGGACACAGACTGTTGTTTGCTGGACTGCTTCCCACTGCCCACAGGAAGACACCTTTGGCACGTGTGTTCTGCTCAGGGCAAAGTCAGGTTCTGTGGTTTCCATCCCAAGATTGCACGAGCCATGAGGCCTGGGCCACAGCTTTCTCTTTTGGGTGTGCTCTGTGGTGACCACCCTGCCACTGGTCCCTCCTCAGGCAGGCAGGCAGGCAGGCAGCTTGTGCCCCCGCCCTGTCTCCAGCAGTGATGTGGCTGTAATTTCGAAAGGCCTCCACCCACTAGCTGTCTGCCCTCTGCACCCCCTGGCTGGCCAGGACCCCGGTGGTCTATGTATTGTGCCCTCATGCTTGGCCACACGTGAACTCAGGGGACCTAAGAAGAGCAGATTGTTGGGCTGCCCAGAGTTCTTGGTGGTCGGTATGCTGCATGTGCCTTGTGCCCTGTGCTGGGTGAAAGTGGGCACAGCTGCTCAGGCAGGCAATGCCCTTGGCTCAGCTGGAGCCTGGACCCCTGCCTGGCAGCAGCTGAGTGAACTGGTGTCTTCTGCTTGTGGGCCCAGCCTCACCTCAGTAGCTTAGCACACATACCCTCAGGAGGGAGGAGGGGAGGCCTAGAAGCCTGGGGGGGGCGGGTAAGGGCAGTGCAGGGGCAGCACCTGTGGAGGAAGCAGGTAGGGGTGGGGCCGCCAGCATCGGCCCTCTGCTGAGTTGCTTCTGTTGGTGTCTCTGATCGTTGCTAGGGCCCTGCGGTGAAAAGACGCACCTGCCGCTCACTGCTTGCAGAGAGAAGGGGGAGATCCCCAACCCAGGAGCCAGAGATGGGGCTCCAGCTACCCCAAAATCCCGGGATTTGGAAGTGAGCCACAAACTCCCCAATTCCTGGGTGTCGGTTGGAGACCAGAGTCTGGTTGTGGTTTGGTGGGATCCTCAGAAGATGTGGATGTTCCCCTTCTGAGGACGCACACAGGATGCTGAAGCTCTATTTCTTGTGGTCGGTTGACCCTGGTCACCCCTGTGTTTCCTTACATATGGATTTGTAGTGACGTGGCATCTAGGTTCAGACTCTAAGAGCTTGGAGGCAGGGACTATGGGGAACTGGGCAGGACTGGCCTCGGGGCAGCCCTGTCGGGCCCACCAGTGCTGTGCTTCTGTGGGGTGGTGGGGAGGAATGACCTTGAGGAGGGCCAGCTCACTGGAGTGACGGGGCAGAGGCTTACATGGGGTCCAGCCCACAGAGCCATCTGGGTAGCCCTCCCATACTAGGTCCTTGAGGTGCAGGATCTAGCTCTACTTTTTCTCCTTTGTATTGGAAAGGTCACCATGAGATCATTGAGTGTTAATTTCTGTGATCTTGGTGCATTAAGTAAGTGTGTAGCAATTGCTGGACGTGTCCTGAGAACTGCACCCCTTCCACCCTGGCGAGAAGCAGGGGCTCCAGAAATTCACGCAGGTGTCCTGCCTCATTGATGGTGGGAGGCTCGGGGGCTCCAAGCTCATTCGTTGTGGGAACAAGGCTGTGGGGGTTGCAGGGCTTGCCAGCTAGGAGAAGCCGAATGGGTGAGAGCCCTGGCCACTGCGGTGCGTGCTGGTGGTTGGCTGGCATGTAGAGGAGGTGGCAGGGCTGGGTGAGCAGCAGGAGCCAAGTTAGTGGGGAGGCTGGAGCCAAGTGCAAGGGCCACTTCTGTGGGTGGGAGAGCCAGGAGGGCATGGCGGGCATGCTGAGGTGAAAGTGACATGTGCTTGTGACAAGAAGCCCAGAAGAGGCAGGAAGGAGGGAGGAGTCACTTCCTTCGGAGCACACGTGGACTTCTGGGTGGGTGCACTGCAGTTCCCTAACTCCTGAGTCTTTTTACTGGTGGTCTTGTGTGTGTGTGATCAATGGCATGTATGTGTGTGCATGTGCAGGTACATGTGTGTGCGCATCTGCGTGCATGTATGTGCTCTGTGTGTGTGTGTGTGTGTTTACGGTGGTTCGTGCACACATCCTGCATACCTTTGTGCCTGGGAGTGGCACATGTGTGGTAAGTGCCCCATGCATGATGGAGTTTCGGCGGTGGTGCCTTTGTGAGATTACCTTGGTGGCCTAAATTGGGGATTAGGAGGGCATCCTCAGGTCCTTCCTACTGTCTGCTCCTCTGCCCGCAGGCAGCTGTGCCCCAAGCAGGAGGAGGCCATCCATCCGTGCCTTGCCTGAGTTGTGTCCAAGGTGTGTGCGTGGCCAGGGGTCCTGTCCACCTCCCTCTGCCCTGGTCCCTGAATGCAGCGGCAGTGCGCAGCTCCTCCCCTCAGCTCTGCTTCCCACCCCAACTCAAAGATACAGCCCTGGCCCTGTGTGCATAGCTCACGTAGGCTGTGTGGGCAGGGCAGGTGCAGGTCTTGGGGCAAGAACTGGAGCTGTCTTTTCCTTCCTGCACAGCTGATACCAGGTAGTCGGGGCTGCCTCCCTGCAAGGGCTGAGGGCCAGGCCCCCTGGGGATTTATTCCTGGCTTAGAAGGGCGGGACCAGAAGCAGGTGTGGTGGGGATTAGGGATTCAGCACCCCCAGCTCTCAGTCCAGCAGACAGACCCGCCCCAGGCTGGCCACAGAGCTGCACACCAGCAAACAGGTAGGCCCTGTTCCTGGGGAGGACCCCCACCAGGCAAAGGCCAGTTCCCAGGCCCCACCTGACACAAGTGTCCAAGCTAGGGTACTGTTTGCCTTCCCCTTGGGGGCAAGTGGGGAGGCCTCCAACCCCCTGCTGGCATTACCAACATCACAGCTAGGAGTCCCAATTCCAATGAGAACTTCCTGGAATGGGTATAGATTCAGCAGACCTTGACAAGGCCATATCTGCAGGGCATGGTGCCAGAGGACAGAGGCAGGGCAGGGACACTTCCATCCCAGACCTGGCAGCCCAGTACTCAGCACCGTGCGTGAGAGCCAACGGCCAGGCTCCTGGGTAGGTGGGGGTCTCACGACAGGCTCCCAGAGGGCTTGGAGGTGACTGCATCAGGTGGGGACGGAACCGCTTGCCAGGGACCCCTGGGGAGGCTGACAGGGTCAGTGGGTTTCAGAGATGGTGGTTTCAGTGGGGGCTTCCCTGCGGAGAACCCAGTAAAGCTGGCCCTGTGTTCATCTCCCGTGTGCCCAGAGCCTGGTCTGAGGGCTGCCTTGTGCATGCTGGACCTTCCGAGGTAACAGAAAACAGAGCTCATGGGGATGCACACCCAGGCTCTCAGGAGACTCTCAGGCCAGCGTCTCCATCTGCAGGTCAGCCCTTTCCTGCCAGGAACTCAGGAAGGCAGGGGCAGCTCAGCGGGGGTTGGGAGGGGCCCAGAGGACCCACTGCTATCCTCTCCTCTCACAGCCTCTCATCTCACCCCTAGGCATGTCGGGCCCCCGGCCTGTGGTGCTGAGTGGGCCTTCGGGCGCTGGGAAGAGCACCCTGCTGAAGAGGCTGCTCCAGGAGCACAGAGGCATCTTCGGCTTCAGCGTGTCCCGTGAGTGCAAGGCACCTGCGGAGGGGTGCATGGACCTCAAGGCTGCTGGGCAGTCCCAGCACTGTGAGCAGGCCAGGAGCCTTTACCCAACAGGCACACCCACCCTGGGGACTGTCCCCTCTCCTATACACGCCCCCTGCACATGTGCACATACACACACCCACACACGCCTGCACCCTGGGGACTGTCCCCTCTCCTGTATACTCCCCCTGCATGTGTGCACATACACACAAACAGATGCACACATGCCCTGCACCCTGGGGACTGTCCCCGCTCCTGCACACCCCCTCCACACAAACACACACACCCTGGAGATTTTCCCCACTCCTGCACACTCCCCCCCCCCCCCAGCCCAGTGCATACACGCCCTGCACCCTGGGGACTGTCCCACTCCTGCACCACCACCACCAGCCCCCCTTCCCCCCCCCGCCCACAGAACCTGAGGCTATTGCACTCCTATCCCGTGTGCCTGTGTCTCCCTTCCCTGGGTCTGTTGAGTACTGATAACTGTGCCACGGTGCCTTTCGGGGAGAACCCTCGCCCTGTAGCTCCTGTGCCTTCCCCGACGGGTGCTCCACTGGCTGCCTGCATCCTGCAGCTCAAGTGCTGTCGGGACTGCAAGAGAAATGCTGGGTGGGGCAGTGGGCTCTGAGCAGTCCCTGATGGGTGACAGGTCTCTCTGCCAGATACCACGAGGAACCCGAGGCCCGGCGAGGAGAATGGCAAAGGTGAGTGGGGTGGGGCCCTGTGGCTGGAGCACCCCCGGTGTGAGCGGGCTGCTGGGCCCTGTAGCTCTGTCACTGTGCTGCCCATCCCCTGCCCCATTGGTCTTCATCTGTGAGAAGGGTCCCTGCCTCCCAGGGCCAGTGAGCTCAGTCAGGGTGTCAGCGCCACAGCACGGTGTCACCTGCATTTTGGGTTCAGTGTGAAAGGCCAGCCAAGGCCTGGGGTTGTCTTCCCCCCCCTCCCGCCTAGGCGGCCACAGTGCTGCTGTCCCCAGCTCTACCTAGGCTTGACACTTACCAGCACTTTTGAGCTGTCTTCTGGTAAATAGGGCTACTCTGCCTGCCTGATTCGAGACAAGGGAGTCCCCTCCCGACAGCACCCCGCCCCTAGCCACGCAACCCAGTGGTCTCCAGTCCCCCACCACATTGCCCCCTCTGTAACCTGACGGTCTCCAGTCCTGCTCCCCTCAACTTCCCCCTGGAACCCAGCAGCCTCGAGTCTCCGTCCGTGAGGAGAATGTGGGCACCTGGCAGCACTTGAGGGGTCCTCAGGCATCTCCCCAGCAAGCGTCTGACCAAAGCAACCTTGGGTGGGGGAGGGGCCTGCGGTGTGCCTGAGTTGGGGGCGGCGGGCCCCTCCTCTTCCCCAGATTACTACTTTGTAACCAGGGAGGTGATGCAGAGAGACATAGCAGCCGGCAACTTCATCGAGCATGCTGAGTTCTCAGGGAACCTGTACGGCACGAGGTGGGCCTCGAGTGGGCTCCCGGGGTTGCTGTGGACAGCAGGGGTCCAGGCAGTGCCTACTGCCAGCCCGCTGTCCACACCACCCGCCCCATGGTCTGAGTGTGGCCCAGGGCCAGGCTCCGTCTGTGGCCCTGTGGTGGCCCTTTTCACAAGAGTGCTGGGCCCGGTCCTGCCACCGTACACTGTCCTGGCAGGGCAAGGGGTGCAGAGGACACCTTGTGCTCACTACAGGCACCTTGGGGCGAGGGTGGCTTCTGTTCCCTGTAGGTGGGGTGGGCCATGGGGGTAGCAGGCTTGGGGTGCTCCTGGAGGTGCCGTGGGATGCTGGGTCTAGGCCAGGCCTAGGCTCAGCTGTGGGAGGAGAGAGCTGGGCCCTGGAGGGCCTGAGCGTCCCTGAAGCTCCTGTAGGCATCCTGCTGACCTGGCACCTGCCCCCAGCAAGGCGGCAGTGCAGGCGGTGCAGGCCATGAACCGCATCTGCGTGCTGGACGTGGACCTGCAGGGCGTGCGGAACATCAAGGCCACCGACCTGCAGCCCATCTACATCTCCGTACAGCCGCCCTCACTGCACGTGCTGGTGTGTGCCGGGCAGGTGGGGGCTGGGGGCCAGGCTGCGCCAGGCTCTGACCACCACCCCCTTTACAGGAGGAGCGGCTGCGGCAGCGCAACACTGAGACAGAGGAGAGCCTGGAGAAGCGGCTGGCTGCTGCCCGGGCCGACATGGAGAGCAGTGAGTGTGCAGCGGGGCACGGGGCATGCCAGGAGGGGAGTCGGGGTTCTGAGGCCTGCAGCACCAGGGACCCTGTGGGTCCCCAGACCTCCCGACACCCGGAGTCCCTGTGAGGGTCGTCAGGCCTCCCAACCATCTCCCAACACCTGGAGTCCCCATGAGGGTCCCCAGAACCCACTCAATCACCAAAGGTCTCATTGAGGGTCCTCAGATCCTCCTCTGTTACCCAGAGTCTCTGTGAGGGTCCCCAGATCCCCCCATCACCCAGGGTCCCCTGAGGTATCCCCGACCTTGTAGCCCTAGGGGTGTCAAGTGCATCCTCTTACAGTTGTCACCTCTCCTCTGGGTCTGACTGCAGTCCACAGGAAGAGGGCATTTAACTTTCTGCTCTGTCTGTAGAAGACAGTGCTGCCCCTAGCCAGAGTCCTGACGGGTGCTGGTGTCCAGGGTCTGGGGCTCCAGAGAGCAGAAGGGGTGCCTGAGAACAAGGCCCAGGGGGCAGCCCTTCCCCACGCTGCACGGGCCGGGCTAGGCTGGAAAGCTGTCCCACAGCCACAGCAAGGACAGCTGCAGGCCAGTGGGCAGCTCTGGGGTCATGTGGGAGCTGGGGTGGGGCTTTGTTGGTTCACTGTGGCCTGACCCCGGCCCCACCCCAGGCAAGGAACCGGGCCTGTTTGATGCGGTCATCATTAACGACAGCCTGGAGCAGGCCTACGCGGAGCTGAAGGAGGCGCTGTCTGAGGTGGGCCCCATCCTCTTGCCGACCTGGGCAAGTCCAAGGGGAGGCCTGGGGCCAGGGCTTTGTTGCCCACGAGGCCACTGAGATCAGATGGGACAGTCCTACCCAAGTACTGGCACGAGACACCATGGTCCACCATGGAGGGAGCGCAGGAGGCCTGGCCCTTCCTGGATACCAGCCCTCCTGACCCTCTTCCTCACTGCAGGAAATCAAGAAAGCTCAAAGGACCGGCGCTTGAGACTTGCTCTTTCTTCTCCGTAACCCGGGTGCATACGGGATCAGGGCAGCAGCACTGAGCAGCCCCCTTGGCAGGCCCTACGGCAGCTCTGTGCCCTTGGCTGGCATGTGGAGCAGAGGGGATGCATCTCCCATGGTTGGACCATGCTGGGGTGACCCCAACCCAGCCGCACCTGGCTGTCCCTCAAACGCTGGACCCGGGGCTGACATGCTAATAAAATAATGATTGGATTAGAGAGTCCATAAATGAGTGGGATGTGGCCCAGAGGTTGGTGTGGGGCCCGTCGTGATCCAGCCCCCAGGCCTGAGGAGGGCTGCCAGGTGGGCTCTGCCCAGGCATCTGTTTCCTGCTGGACACGCAGGCAGGGAAGGTGACGGGGCCAGTGCCAACCCACTTGGTGGGCCAGCAAGCGGGGAGCAGGCAGCGGCTGCAGGTGCCAGCCTGAGGCTGCAGGGGTGGGTCCTGGGGGCTCCCTCCTGGTTCCTGAGCTCCTGTGGGTCTGGCATGGGCCACAGGTTCCAGGAGAGGCTCCTGAGCCCTGGCAGCTGGAGGTTCTAGAACTCACGGTCTGGGGGCCTGAGGGAGATGCCTGAGTGGAGGGCAGCTGCCCCTCCCTCCTGGCCCTGGGGCCTGTGTGTTGCCTGTGGGGAGCTGCCGGTCAGGCCGCCTCCCTCCCTACCTCCCCAGTGCTCCCTCCCCCAGCCTGCTTGTCTCAGGCAGCACAGAGCACTGCTGCCAGCCACCCCTAGGGTCAGCCCCAGCCCTGGTCTGAGCCCAGGTGAGGTGCTCCTGGGGTGGGGTGCAGACAAAGATGAGCGACCTGGATGGGAGAGAAGGAGGAAGGCAGGGCACCCGGCCGGAAATGGGGGCGGGGAGCAGAGTCCCCGCCCAGAGCCCAGACGCTGGCTGCCGATACTGACCAGAGCCGCCCGAAGTGGGCGGCAGGGCAGGGGAGGGGAGGTCATGGGCAGCCCCCAGGGCCGGTGGACTGAGCTTCTGAGGCTGGGGCTGGCCTCCGACCTGCTTGGGCCTGGAAAGCCTTGCCCGCCACCCCGCCCCCCAGGACAATCAGGGATTCAGACCCTGAGGCCGAGGGGGGAACAATGGGGCCCTTGAGGGCCCCTCCCCCAGCCCCCATTGTGCTTGGTGGCGGGAGGTGGCCCCGGCTCTGCCGAACACCCTCGGGGAGGACCAGCATCCAAGCAGGTGGAAGGGCTCAGAGGAAGACTGGAATTTTCTGGCCTGGAGAAGGTAGGGTGCTGGGGCCCATGTGTGCACCGCTGGGGGCTGTTCCCCAGGGGACAGCCTCATCCTGTGCCCCTGGCCTCGAGGCACTGAAGGAGGGAGGGCTTCCTGAGGACCAGCTGCAGGAGGGGCACTCCTCATGCCTGCCGCCCCTCCTGGGCCCCGCTGTTCCATGAAGATGTTGGGGTGGCCCCCCACTTGATGTCTGTGTCCTTCAGGCCCTGCTGCCTTCACCGCAGGGTGGGTGCCAGCCGGCAGGGTCTGGTCTGGGACAGCTGGCAAGCGGGAGGGGTGCCTTCAGTACCTCCCCCAGCAGCTGGGGCCCTCAGACAGCAGTAGGGCTGGCCTCAAACACCAGCCAGCTGCAGTGTGTCCAGGCCCAGCCCCCCACCCTCAGCAGCCCCCTGGAGGTGAGGATCTCGGCCTGCCCCTTGTACAGACAGACTTGGGGCCCTGCTCAGCCTCTTCCTTGGAGGCCACAAGCCACTCTTTAACAAGCACTAACCATGCATTGGGGCCCAGCCTAGGCCTGGAGCCCAGCAGACCCTGTGGTTACAGAGCTGACCCCAGTGCTTGTCAGTGTTGTCATTAACTGGGTGGAGGCCCCCCTGGGGTGCTGGGGCAGGCCCTCAGTGCAAGGAAGGGGCAGCATGGCTGAGGAGTGGGAGGGTGGAGCACCCCAGGGCTGCTGCACAGGGAGGCCACATAGTCCAGGCCCAGGGCTGGATGGCGGTAAGCCCAGGATTCATGGCTGCTGGGCTGGGTAGGAGGTTCAGGAGGGAAGACATGGGTTCCTGGGCTCTGAGTGGAATGGGTGGAGGGCAGGGACAGCCTTAGGAGGCTGGGGAGGGCATCAGCCCCTTGCTCCCCGTGCGCATAATCCCCAGAGCTCCATTTTTGGAGGGTGTGTGGCTCAGCTCCAGGCCTGCACAGCCTTGGAGACCAGCCTGGGGGAGCTGGCCAGGGTGCAGCGATGACACACTCCCACCTGACCTGGGCCCGGCTTGCCCCTTGGTCCACCTTCAGGAGAGGAACAGCCCCTTGCCTCTAGGCCTGGCAGTTGTGCCTGCTTGGGACCCTGAGGGAAGGGACCCATGCATTCACAGCGCCACCAATGCCAGGGAGGAGAGAGCTCCATGGGGTAGGAAGCACCAGTCTGGATGCTCCCTGGCCCTGGCAGGGGCTGGGGACCCCACAGATGCACAGCCCCACGCTACATTCCTCAGTGTCCCCTCACTCCCCTGACGTTCCTGAGCACTATACCCATCCTCCGGGGCTTCTGGGGCTCTGGTCAGTTCAGGAGCTGTTGCAGGCCGACGCTTGGAGCCTTGGGGACACCATGCCTTCCTGGGTCTCAGTGGTGGTGGTGGGGCTCCCTAAGGGAGGCATGTGGTGAGGCTGAGGCAGAATCGGAGGGCTCATGGCTGTGTGAGAGTGAGTGTGTGAGCCCACCTCCATGTTGAGCTGGGGCAGCAGTGTGCATGTGGGAGTGTGCACGGTGTGTGTGCCATGCCTGTGTGCGTGTGGGGAGGAACACGTGCTGTGTGTGCGTGTGAAGGATGTGTGGCGACAGCTTGTGCCCACACCCAGCGGGGGGCTTACAAGCTGCACAGGCAGGACAGCGAGACCTGCCACAGAGCTGCTGGGGCAGAGTGGTCTGAAGGGAGAGTTCCAGGCCTGGGGCTTGGGTCCTGGGTGGCCGAGCTCTGTGCCTCCCTCTGGACCAGGGCATCCAGAGGAGCATGGCTGAGGCTGCACTCCAGGCTGACTATTCCAGGGCCTGGGCTGTCCAGGACCGGCAGCTGGGGGCCCAGGCAGGGACATGGAGGATGGAGTGCAGGAGCTGCCACCACAGGGGAGGGGGCCTGTCGGGCTGAGGGGTGAGGAGACATTGAGGCCTGCGGGTGGGTGAGCGCTGTAGCCCCCTCTGCGTGAAGACTGCCCCCACACAGCCCTGCAGCAGAGTGGAGGGGTGGGAGGGGACCGTGCCTGCAGGAGCTCCAGGGAGGCAGGACAAGCTGAGGTGGGCACTGTGCAGTGCTGCAGGATGAGGTTGTCAGCAGGGCCTTGGCCCTCGGGAGGAGAGGGGAGGGGTGCTGGCCCCCAGTGAGCCAGGCCTGGGGTTTGCAGCCTGTCTGTGCACAGGTCCAAGAGAGATCTCACCCCAAAACTACACCTCCAGGGTACCCAGGACGAGGATTGGTGGGGAGGGGCTTCAGCTTGGCTAGAGCTGGAGGCGCCTGTGGGCTTCAGAGTCTGTGAGGAGGCAGCTGCTGGGATTAGTAACGTGTGTGTGTGTGGGGGGGGGTAGAGGGGTGACCGCAGGAGGCCACCATCCAGGATGCTGCCTGGCCCAGGTGTGGGAGTGGTGAGGCGTGGTCAACCCCGGGGAAGGCTGTGGGAAGTAGAGGATGTGGGCATTGGTGGAGGGCCAGGGTCTCACAGGGTTTTAATATTGGGGACCAGGGGCTTGTGAGGGTTCGCTCCTAGGCCAGGGTGTGAAAGGGGACCTCACAGTGGGGGTGGTCTCACCCTGGTGGCATGAGGGGCTCACAGGAAGGGCTTCAACGGGGTGCATGGCAAAAGCCAAGGGGCTCACCATGAGGGCTCACAGTGAGGCGGGGTGAGTGGGGGGGCCCACGGGGAGGCAGGAGGGTGGGGGGCCCACGGGGAGGTTGGGGGGTGGGGGGCTCACGGGGAGGCCGGGGGGGGTGGGGGGCCCACAGCGGGGGCCACCTCTGGGAGGGGTTTCAAGGCAAGCAGGCCCAGGCGGAGGCCGCCCTTCTGCAAACCCAGCTGGGCAGCTCTGGCTGGTGTGCTGGCTCCTCAGGAGCTGGGCCTCCTCCTCCATCAAGTCCCTGCCCACCCTGGGTCTGAACACTGGTCCTGGGGCGCTGCAGTAGGAGCCCCGCCCCACCCTGCCCGGGTCTGCAGTGCAGGGTCAGGGCCCAGGTATTTCCTTCCCCTGCAGGCCCTCCGAGGGCAGGCTGCACAGGGCGGGTGTTTTTTGTAGTTTAGGCCGCCAGGCAGGCACCATGCACACAGCACAGTTCACCAGGCGGGGACCCGGGGCAGGCTCCTCCCCTCCCTGAAAACGACGGGACCCCAGCGAGTGGCAGGCCCTGTGCTGTTGCTTGTCCACACAGTCCAAAGCAATTTCAGGGGGATGGGTTTTGAGAGCAAAACTATGGAGTTGACGGGACCTTCCCATGAGATGCCACGAAGCGTCCACGCCATCCAGGACGCCTGTGGTGACACTTTGGCCACCTGGTCAGGGTTGGTGTAGGGTGCAGGCTGCAAGGGTGCTCTCCCTCCCTCCCTCCCACACCCTCTGAAGCCAGGTTACCAGGTGCAGCCCGCAGGTAGGGCTGGGGGTAATGCTCTCCTCCTCCAGTACAGGGTGTCCACTCGGCTGCTTTGGACTGACTGCACGAGGAGCTGTCGCCTGCCCCTTGTTTGGTTATCCAGTTATTCAGTCATATCTCTTGGCAACCTATGAGCCAGTCTGTAATCTGTAACACAAGACTTCTCGATTTACTTCACTCCTCAGAGGGACCCAGTCCCCGGCACCGGGCGCCCGACACGCAGGTGCTGCACCCCCAGCCTTCCTCTCACTCTACGGTTGCCTCAGGCTCCTCTGTGCATTCCCAGCCCCAGCCCTAGGGTCTGCCCATTCCCCACCAGGGGTTCCTGAGTCCTGTGATTGGGAGTGGAGGTAGGAACCAAGGCCTGGGCCCCAGGTGGGCTCTTGCTCCTAGGGTGTTTTTACACTGAGGCCTTTTCAGGGGCCAGAGCAAAGGTGTGTGTGTGAACCCAGGTGCATCCACACGTCTGTATTTTCTGTGAAACCACCCACGTCTCTAGCCGGGCGTGGTGTCACGTGCCTGTAATCCCAGCTACTCAGGAGGCTGAGGTGGTGAATCGCTTGAACCTGGGAGGCGGAGGCTGCGGTGAGTGTAGATCACGCCATTGCACTCCAGCCTGGGCAATAGGAGCGAAACTTCATCTCCCCAACTGTGAGACTCACCCCGTGGTCTCCAGCTGTTATCGTCATTACATGGAATAGTCATGATAAGCACACAGTGGTGACACAGCGACAGCCTCAGGCAAGGGCTGAACCTGTGTGCACGCCTGTGCGTGTGTGTGGCGGGGCCAAGCAGCAAAGGCTTCTGCCCGGAGTGGGCTCCAGCCAGTGTGGCAGCCATGGGCAGAGAGCACGAGGTGATGTCTGAAGCCAAGCGTGGAGTGGGGGCAGGGGATATGGCGCTAGATCAGGTGAGGCTGGGCACTTGCTCTGGTCAGGAGACACTCTTGGGGTGGGAGGCCTGCTGGGTGGGTGTCCTAAGGCTCTCCAGGCTGCTGGGCGAGGAGTGAAGTGCTGGAGGCGGCCCCAGGCTCAGGACTGGCTGGGATGAGGAGGCTGTTCTGCAGGGCATGATGGCATTTGGGTGTGGCCATCTGGCTCTGGTGGTGCCTGCTGGGTGCTGCGTGCTTATGTTGGAGGTGGCAGCAGGCCCAGGAGAGAATTATGGGCTGGAGGCGTGGCACTGAGACCAGGGCCCGGGTTCTTCCAGGCCATTCCCCAAACCACTATGTGGGTGCAAGTGACACAGCCCCCCCAGAGCAAAGCGCAAGCCCTCAGATGCCAGGGCACATCAGCCCGGGGCCAAGCCACGGTGGTCTTCAGAGCTGAGCTGATGGCGCCATTTTCTCAGCTGAGTCAGGGAAGCCACTCGGCAGTCAGCCGCAGCAGGAGTGCTCATACCATGGGCACCGGCAGGCACCATGACTGCAGTGGTCCCCAGAGAGCCGCTTGCTCAATATTGCCCCCACGCAGCTGGGCAGGCCGGCCCTGGCACTGAAGGTCTACCACTCCATCTCTCCCTTGAGCCTCCTCTGTCTTAAGTTCCTGTCTGGCTGGGATCGGTGGGCTGAAGCCCGCTGTGATAGGACAGGTGGGGAGGGAAGGGGGCCTGCCTACTGGAACCAGGGGGAGAAGGGAGGTGGCCCCAGGGCTGGAGTGTGCCAGCCTATGCAGCAGGCTCTGTGCTCCAAGGAGGCAGAGCTCCTGCAGCTGCCCTGTTCACCCTCTCCTGGTGGCTGCCCCAGGTCCAGTACCTGCTCCTGGGTCGCTGGGGCAGGAGACCTCCTAGCTCCCTTTGCCTCTGGCCCCCTCCTGGTACCCGGCCTGGGAGGCAGCAGTGGCAGGCGTGGGACCAGCAGCAGTCACTGGTGAGGCTCCCGGCCTCTCTGTGCAGCTGATGTGCCCTGGCGTCTGAAGGCTGGCGCTTCACTCTGGGGGGCTGTGTCACTTGGGCCCACACGGTAGTCCTGGGAGTGACCTGGAAGAACCTGGGTCCTGGTCTCAGGGCCACACCTCCATATGTGTGATCACACATTTGAGTCCCCAGGTCTGTCTGCACGTGTGTGCATGTGGTTGTGCATACATAGGCACACTGTTTTCATGCATGTGGGTCTGCATGTGAGTGCATACAGGCATGCTGCGGTGATAGTTTGCACATAGACATCTGTGTTTGCACCTGTGTGTCACATGTGCCCTATGGCATTAATCTGTTTGCACGTGTATCTGCGTGTACACATGTACATGTGTGCGTGCACGTGTATCTGCATATGCATCTGTGCACGTGTGTGCATATGTCCAAGTGTGTACACGTGTGGTCTGTGGGTGTGTATCTGAGTTGTCTGCACATGTGAATGTCAGTGGCTCTGAGGGGTACTGCACAGATGTGAGGAAGCAGGGCCATTTCCCCAGGAACCCTGACTGCCCCCTCTTCCTGCCCCGGGTGGGGAGGCCTCGGCTGCATAAAGAGGCCGGGAGCCTCACCAGCGACTGCTGCTGGTCCCACACCTGCCGCTGCTGCCTCCCAGGCCGGGTACCGGGAGGGGGCCAGAGGCAGAGGGAGCTAAGGGGTCTCTTGCCCCAGCGACTCAGGAGCAGGTACTCATCTGGGGGCAGCGACCAGGAGAGGGTGGGCAGGGGAGCTGAGCACAGACCCTGCGGCACTTGCCCACTTTGGGCTGGCTGGTCTGCGGCACAGCTGTCTCTGAGGGTCGCAGATGCTGAGTGTGGCCTCACATCATGGAGTCTATAACCTTGCTGGACATCTTCCCTCCTGGACAGACGCCTGCCTTCATCCTAACCCCAGCTGGGGACCGTCTGGGTTGGGACTGCGGAGGACCAGGAGCCTAGACTGGTTGGGGGGAGCCCTGGGACCCTAGGCACCTTGAAAGGGCAGTGGGATCAGCAGGGGGCTGGAGGGAGGATGGAGGTGGAGGGATCCCCTACGGCCCCTGTGCAGGGTGTGGAGGGAGGTAGAGCAGGGCCACTGGGGGCCAAGGGGTTATGGAGATTGTGGACTGGTGGCACTTTCAGGTCTGGGGGCTGATGGTGGTTCAGGCATGGGAGGCTGTGAAGGACAGGGCTGATGGGGTTGCAGGGTGGGGGCAAATGGGGCCACAGGGACTTGGGGGCTAGGGAGCTGGAGGGGCCAGGAGGGATTAGGTGGCTAGGCAGGCTGGGGAGACCCTCCAGATGCTGAAATCCTGTGGGACCCTCCCCAACAACCTGGGAGCGGCTGGGGGCTGGGGTGGTGGCCATGAGTGCAGTGGACACTGAGACCCCCAGTCCCCACACACTTGAAGGTGCTTGCCTCACGAAGTCCCCACCTGCCTCACGAAGACAGCTCACGGGCGCTGCATCTGCACGAGCAGGGGCCGGATCAGGTGGGGGCTTTCACTTCCGTTTAAGGTGGTAAGCTCCACGCCATCCGGTGTGTGAGCAGAGGGGCCAGCTGCGAGGCTAGCCTCGAGCCCCAGCTCTGAGCTCTGCGTGCCGACAGCTCCTAGGTGCAGGCCCCTGGCTGACCCCCGCCCCGCCCCGCCCCACAGGACCTGCCCGCCCGCCCCTATGACCAACATGAGCTGGAGCTTCCTAACGCGGCTGCTGGAGGAGATCCACAACCACTCCACCTTCGTGGGCAAGGTGTGGCTCACGGTGCTGGTGGTCTTCCGCATCGTCCTGACGGCCGTGGGCGGCGAGGCCATCTACTCCGACGAGCAGGCCAAGTTCACCTGCAACACGCGGCAGCCGGGCTGCGACAACGTCTGCTACGACGCCTTCGCGCCCCTCTCGCACGTGCGCTTTTGGGTCTTCCAGATCGTGGTCATCTCCACGCCCTCGGTCATGTACCTGGGCTACGCGGTGCACCGCCTGGCCCGCGCGTCTGAGCAGGAGCGGCGCCGCGCCCTCCGCCGCCGCCCCGGGCCCCGCCGCGCGCCCCGGGCGCACCTGCCGCCCCCGCACGCGGGCTGGCCCGAGCCGACCGACCTGGGCGAGGAGGAGCCCATGCTGGGCCTGGGCGAGGAGGAGGAGGAGGAGGAGCCGGGGGCGGCTGAGGGCGCCGCCGAGGACGCGGAGGAGGCTGGCGCGGAGGACGCGTGCGCCAAGGGTGCCGGCGCGGACGGGAAGGCGGCGGGGACCCCGGGCCCGGCGGGGCAGCACGACGGGCGGAGGCGCATCCAGAGGGAGGGCCTAATGCGCGTGTACGTGGCCCAGCTGGTGGCCAGGGCGGCCTTTGAGGTGGCCTTCCTCGTGGGCCAGTACCTGCTGTACGGCTTCGAGGTGCGGCCGTTCTTCCCCTGCAGCCGCCGGCCCTGCCCGCACGTGGTGGACTGCTTCGTGTCGCGCCCTACTGAGAAGACGGTCTTCCTGCTGGTCATGTACGTGGTCAGCTGCCTGTGCCTGCTGCTCAACCTCTGCGAGATGGCCCACCTGGGCCTGGGCAGCGCGCAGGACGCCGTGCGCGGCCGCCGCGGCCCCCCGGCCCCCGCCCCCAACCCCGCGCCGCGGCCCCCGCCGTGCGCCTTCCCAGCCGCGGCCGCCGGCCTGGCCTGCCCGCCCGACTACAGCCTGGTGGTGCGGGCGGCCGAGCGCGCTCGGGCGCACGACCAGAACCTGGCAAACCTGGCCCTGCAGGCGCTGCGCGACGGGGCGGCGACCGGGGACCGCGACCGGGACACTTCGCCGTGCGCGGGCCTCCCTGCGGCCTCCCGGGCGCCCCCAAGGGCGGGCGCTCCCGCGTCTGGAACTGGCAGTGCTACCTCTGCGGGCACCGTCGGGGACCAGGGCCGGCCTGGCGCCCACGAACGCCCAGGAGCCAAGCCCAGGGCAGGCTCTGAGAAGGGCAGCGCCAGCAGCAGGGACGGGAAGACCACCGTGTGGATCTGAGGCGCTGGCTTGCGAGCCAGAAGCGGGAGGAGGAGGGTTGTGGGGCTCCCGTGGAAACCTGTGACCCTTCAACTCAGCCTGCTCCTTAGCCGGTGGTCTCAGGCAGACCCTGCCCAGAGGGGCAGCCAGGCCGCTCAGGGAAGGGGCTGAAAGCGGCGGAGGAGTGCCCTGGCCTAGTCACTGCTGGGGCCAAGGTGGGGTGGAGAGGGGGCCTAGGAGGCAGGAAGGTCCCTCTGCTGTTGTCTGTACCCCAGGGGGGCTGGGGCACTGACGACTCCACCCGTATCCTGAGCTGGAATAAGTCTTCTGGGATGCCAGCTTCCCTGGAGCAACCAAGGAGGCCCCAGGGTGCCTGGCATGGGCATCAGTTGGTGTGTGTGGCGCTGCTTGTCCCCATTCTCTGCAACAGCAAATGGGGCTCCTTCTTCATCCCTCCCCCTCCCAGCCCCAAACTGAGACCCCCTTGGAGCTGGGAGCCTGGGTGGACAGCGCTGCACCCTCTGAGCTTCTGTGCTACCGCCCTTCCCTTCCTCTGGGAGACTTGGAGCTCTGCAGAGATGTTGGCCATGCCTTGCAGCTTGGACCCAATGGTTGGTCCGGGCCTGGGGGTTTGGCCATGCTGGGGGAAGGGGGCTCTTCCTGCCCATGGCCTGTCTGCGCTCCTCCCTAATTCAGACCCAGCCTACGGAAGAAAGGGAGTAAAATAAAACTACCTTTTGTTTATAACCTTGTGTGTACATGTGTATGCATCTGCATGTGTGGCTGTGTGTGACTGCATCCATATGTGCATTGCGTGCATGTGTGGGAGCATGCATACATGTGTATGATGGGTGTGCGTGCATAGCTACCACACAGGGAGACATGGCTTAGCTCCAGGCTGCCTGGGAGAGGAGACTCCCAGGGGAGTACAGCCACAGAAGAGCCCCGGTAGCTTGTCACAAAACACTCGGGGGCTGCTCAGTGCAGGCAGCATGCTGGGGGCAGGGGCGGGTGGGGCTGGGTGGCGTGTACTGATGGTGAGGAAGAAAGGACAGCTCAGAGCCCCAAGTCAGACAGCTCAGTGGATGGAGGGCGGCTGTCACAGGCCCTGTTGTGACCAGGATGTCGGTCAGAGCCTGCAGGGGTGGCTTTGGCGAGGGGCAGAGAGGGCTCAGGAGCCCTGGAACACTCCAGGTGACTGGCTCCCTCCCAGCCTCTCTTAAACCTGGTGCAGCCTGGCCGGCCACCCCTTCTGGGCTGTACCCCCCTCTCTCTGTGGTGTCCCCAGGCAAGACCCAAGCCTGGGCTGAGGCCCGAGTCTCACCCAAGCCTTACTCCTGGCAGATGCCAACTGCAAGCTGAGCCCATTTCCTTTCTGGGGCTTGCCTGGCTGACCTCTGGCCCCAGGTGAGCCCTGACTCGTGGAGCCATGGACGGCAATGCTGAAAGTGCAGCCTCAGGAAAGAAAGTGAGCACGAACCGCACAGGGTCCACTGCAGTGGGGACACACCAGGAGCCTCTCCAGCGCAGGGAGGGGCGGGGCTGTGCTGCTGACGGTGCCACCGTGGGGGAGACCAGGTCTCTGTGGTGGGGGCCGTGGTGCCCAGCCATGCTGGGCAACTGGGCATGGCTCACCCTTCCTCCACCTTTGGTTCTGTTCAGGCCTGCTCAGACAAGGCCACCTGCGTTAGGGAGGCCAGTCTGCTTTCCTCAGTCCACCCATTCAAGTGTTAGTCTTATCCAGAAGTGCCCTCACAGACATGCCTAGAATAATATGTGACCCCGTATCTGGGCATCTGTGGCCCAGTCAAGTGAACACGAACTGAACCATCACAGGCCAGGCACTGTCTCATGTCTGTAATCCCAGGACTTTGGGAAGCTGAGGTGGGAGCATCACTTGAGCCCAGGAGTTCAAGACCAGCCTGAGCAACACAGACCCCCATGTCTACAAAACACTTAAAAGTTAGCGGGGCGCAGTGGCATGCACCTGTGGGTCCAGCTCAGGAGGCTGGGGTGGGAAGATCACTTGAGCTGGGGAGGTCGAGGTCGCAGTGAGCTGTGATTGCACCACTGCACTCCAGCTGGGACAGCAGAGCAAGACCCAGTCTCAAAATAAATAGAAGCAGCCATCACAGGCAGACTGAAAGCAGAGCTGCTGCTCTGGGGAACGTTAGTCTTTGGCTGTGTATCTAGGTATAAAAATAGGATATAGTATATTCTGATTCTCTGGAGAACCTTGACTGTACACCCCCCTCACCAGAGCTGTTAACAGGGCACCGAGCTGCGAGGACAGCTGGAAATGACCCCTAACTTGGAGGGTGTGTCTGCTGGGACTGCAGAGACACAGCACCACGCGCTGGGTGCCTTAAACAACAATCCTCTGGGATTGTCTTGCAGTCCCAGGGGGGAAGGCCAAGATTGAAGTGTTGGCAGGGCCGATTGCTCCCATGACCTGCCTCCTGGGCCCGTGGACACCGTCTCCTCCCTGTGTCCTCACGGGGCTGTCCCTCTGTGTGCATGTGTCCTAATCTCCTCTTCTTTTAAGGACACCAGCCGCCGTGGATTAGGGCCCACCCCAATGAACTCATTTTAACTTAATCACCTCGTTAAAGGCTTTGTCTCCAATTATAGCCACATTCTGAAGTTCCTGCAGGTTAGGACTTCAACACAGGAGTTTTGAGGGGACAACTGCCCGTATTAGAGGGTGGATGCCCAATGGGAAGCTGGATTGTCACAAGAGAAGGGGAGACGGGACCGGAGGACAGACCTCCCTTCTTGGAGACTTGGGGATAGGTGGGCCAGGTCGGATTTGTGAACATCTGCTGGTGGGCTTAGGCTCTGCTGCCACACCCTCCCAGTGGGATGTGCCTGGCTGTGCAAGCCCCAGCCTCCCCGCCATCTGCTAGTTCCCCTCTAAGACCAAGTCCTTGATAATCTGGACGTTCCCACAATGTCATGCCTGAGCCCCGAGCCACCAAGCAGGGCTGGCGTCTCCCACTACAGCGGGTCGTGGTATCTTAGCGGCTCCAGTCTGTGGACTCACAAAGGCTAACCCTGTCCCACACACCTGGTGCTTCACAGTCATTTATAAAGAAACCAAGCCTTGGTTTCCCCAGCCACCTGGGGTGGCCATGACGGTGATGAGCTGAGGCTGACACCACAGCCCCCTCCCTCCTCTGTCCTGCATCTTCCCAGCTCTGGGGCTGGCTGGTGGTGCGGGGTGGTGGGGGGCAGTCGCTGGTGGGCCCAGCCCTGTGCACCGCAGGGCAGAGCCCGGCCAGGGGTGGAGCAGGCTGGCGGGCTGGGCCTCCCCGTCTCACCTCCGTCCGTTTCCACAGCCTCAGCCAACTCTCGGCCACTCGTGGGAGGGCGCAATGGGGTGGGGGCCAGCTGCTCAGAGACTCCCCTAGAATGGGCAGTGGTGCTCTCTTTCCTCTAGGAAGGGAGGAAGCCCTGAGGCGAGAATAACAGGAAATCACCTTCCCCCAACCCCGAAGGACCTGGGAAGCAGGGCTTCGACCCCTACGCCCAGGCGCTTTCCAGTTCTCAGCCCCTGGCCCCAGCTGGTCCCTGAGGCCAGGACGGGGGCCAGGTTCCCTCCCCCAGGTGCCAGGTCCCAGTTCCCTGCCTGCTGATGAGGGGAACATCGGCCCTGGGCTAGCCAGGCTGGTGTGGAGGGTCCAGGGAGGCTTCTTGGAGGTGGCATGGAGCCAGGCCTCACAGGCTCTGGCACTGGGCCGTGGCCCCTGTGACTCTGGAGTTGAAAGCTCTTTTGTTTCCTCTGAGTCCATCTGACCTGGAGTGTCCCCGTGTGGTGGTGGTGGCTTCTTTGGGGTGGGGGGCCCTTGGCAGGATGGATTGGGAGCCGCTGGGCCCGGCCTGGGGCGCCAGGTTGCTGCGTGCCTTTCCTGCTGCCTGTGCAGGGGCGGAAGCAAATTCCTCTGCCGGCTGAGGCTCAGGCTGACGTGAGGCTGGAGGAACTCAACTCCTGCCTGTGGGTGTTGTCCCCGCCACCCCCCGCCCTGGGTGTCATCCTGCCTGGCTTCCGCTCTGTCCGCATGGGGCTGCCCGGGAGGCACCAGGTCACCCTCAGGAACGCCAGGCTCCAGCAGAGGAAGGGGTGGCGACTGCGGCTAGGAAGCGCATTCTAGGCCTGGCCTGTCTCAAAGAGGAAGTGGCAGCTGGCAGGGGACTGAGGCCCAGGCACCTTGGGGGACCCAGCTGAGTCACTCCAGGCCCCTCACCTCTCTCCTGGTTGGGCAGGAAGGGAAGTGCTTGGGGCAGGTGGGGAGGCCGTGAGGAGGGTTTAGAAGGGTGAGCAGGAGCTCTGGGGACGGGGATGCTGCAGCGGAGGGAATGGGCTGACAGCAGGGCCTCCATGGCCACGTCCAGGGCATGTGGGAATTCGGTGACTGCCCAATGTCAACCGAGCCCCTAAGACATGCCAGGTTCTGGCCCAGGCCCTTGGGACACGGCAGGGAGCCTTGGCAAGGATTCTCTGCTTGGCCAGACTCTGGCCAGGATCCGGAACTTTCCCCCGGGCCCATCTGTGCACTTGCTCAGAAAATCCAGTTTGAGTAAGAGCCCGGCCGTGTCAGTTTAGCCGGAAGTCCGTACCTGGATATCTGCTCACCCTTGGTGACATGTGATCGGGTCCCTCATTTCCCAGTCCCCAGGTGACGTCTGATCACCCTGCCTGCCTGCAGCAAGGACCCTGTGAGGTGGGTTTAGCCAGACACCCCCTTCAGCCCTGATGTCTCCTCTTAGTCATTCCCACCCACAGACTCCACGCTGTTCCTCAGCTTCTCCACTCCCCACCTGCTTTATTGGGGTTGAGCCCCATCTCCCCCAAGGCCCCAAGGCAGGGCCCACACCACATGCTGCGCCGTGGTGCAGTCTTCTTCACGGACACTAAGACATGTCATGAGGAATTCTTTCTTCCACAGCTACACAAAGACCTCTCCTTGTCTGGACTCTGCGCCATAAAGACACTTTGAAGAAGTCTTCATTGGCGCTTTGAGGGCCGTGGAGAAGGGAATGTGTCAACAGAGTACACAGGCCCCAGGAGGCCAGGAAGGCAGGCACAGGTTGGACTAGGGCAGTCAGATGCTAGGACTGAAGGTTGCTAGGGCCACCTTGCAGATGGGTCACCTACTACCAGAGAGTGGCCACTGTCCAGGCCTGCTCAGCAGGGGGCATGGGACATCATGGCAGTGTGCAGTTCCTGCCTAAACCGTCCTCTGTGAATTCAGCTGTGACTCTTCACGATGAGAGTCACTGGAAGGATGTTTTGTGGGAGGACAGGCTGGGCTCCAGGGAGGGCTTGGCATCCTGCACTAAAGAGGACTGCAGACACGACGGGGGTGACCCTGGCCTGAAAAAAGCAGGAGTTACCAAGGATGTGATTGGAAATCGTGATTGTGTCTCCTCACGTCACATTGATTAGGGGTGTGGAGGGGCTGTGGGCAGGATGGTGCCTGTCCTTATCCATGGAGACATTTGGGGACAGAGCCTCCTGCAGCTGACGTCCCAGTGGTCCAGAAAATGAAGACAAGATGACACAGACAGATTAGGCAGAGGCAGCCACATGTGGACAGCTGGCAAACTGGTAGGTACCCTTATAAAAAGAGGAAGCAGGCGGGCACGGTGGTTCATGCCTGTCATCCCAGCACTTTAGGAGGCTGAAGAGGGTGAATCACTTGAGCCCATGAGTTCGAGACCAGCCCGGGCAACATGGGGAGACCCTG